ACGCTCCTCCCAATTGCTCCCATTCAAGATCGCGTCAAGCTTCCGCATCATTAAGTCAGATTTGGCATCTAACTTTTTTTCCAGGCGTAGGTATTATCATGATCGTTCAACAATCGCTCGATCTCTCTTGTCATCCCAGCCTCTCTTTCCTCTGACTCCTTGTTTGCCTGTGCCAGGTTCTCCGCCAGGCATTGATCGGTGTTGCGAATCAATTGAGCCTGATCAACCCTCAAACAGGATCAAGTTAAATTACTTAACGCTGCCTACTCAATTCCGTTAGTATCAAAATGTCTCTTAGATTTCTTAATGACAATACTAGTGACTCAGCTAAAGTTACACACAGGGTCTACTCAGTATTGCTATAGTGCTAACTCAACCCCGTTGTATAGTATAACAGTATCACAAGATTTTCACAAGATATAATCAATACACAAAACACAATTGATAGTCAGATAAGAATATCCTACAGGTGACAGCGACCTTTCGTCAGTATCAATTTACCGCCAGACTCTTACCAAGTCACTGCTTTGTTAAAATCAAACAATTTTTGGCAAAATGCAGTGATGATTCAGAAACAGATCAATAAAACTTAGCCTTAAAGAAAAAGACTTCCCTCAATCGGAACGATCCGAAAGAACGAAGCCCAGGACACAGTCTTCTCATGTGAGTGTGTATTTGCCTAATACACTCACCGAGGTCTTCTTTTAGGTGTCCTGCGATTGCCCGAGCTGTCCTACTAAGTAGCTCAAGGCAACCTCTGATTGAAAAATTTCTAAAGTCCATGAAAAAGCTCCCCCACGCCCGGAACGCTCCAAGTGCACGAGAGCAGGGAACAACTTTTCTTCTCAGGTGAGTGTGTATTCGCCTAATACACTCACCGAGGTCCTCTTTTATTTGTTCCCGGATTGCCTGAACTTTCCTATTAAGTAGATCAAGGCAACCACACAACCAAAATCACAATCAAAAAAAATTTTGGTTCGGGTACTTCTGATACACCCGATCTAGAATCCAAAGTTGATAACAAATTTCCGGGTCAAAATGGGCTCCTATGATCCTAATAAGCACGCCTAATATCCTAATATGATCCTAATTAAATGGATATTTTCCGTTCCCCAAATTGCCAAAGAAGGTTTCCTCGAGTTTCTAACAAGGAGGGTTGTTAAGAGGTTTAAGTCACTCCGGAGGGTTATTTCGGTGGGTTGTTAAGACACCTAGCCTACTTCGGAGAGTTGCCTCGGAGGGTACCTTAGCCACCCAAGTGACTTCGGAGGGTCTCTCTTCACTCACTAAGGAGGGTCAATTAGAGGCTTAATATGCTCCGGAGGGTTACCTCGGAGGGTTCTTCCAAAATTTTCAAATTTTTTAACCTCACTTAGAAGGGTCTTCCACTAGCTTCAAAAAGCGTCACAACAAGCTAAAAACCCTACGGGGGATTGTTTTAACTTCTTCGGAGGGTCCCGTGGAAAATCTCCACTAAGGAGGGTTGCTAAAGGGCTTAAGTCACTCCGGAGGGTTACACCGGAGGGTTCCGCAAAAATCAGAAAAAAGGGTTAATTTACCGCAATAAAGCCTCCAAATGCGGTTTAACTTGCTTAAAATTAGGTTGGTTGACACGGTCAACCTTCCCAGCAGGATAAAAAGGTGTTTCGATAAAATTTTCTGCCACTCGGAGGGTTACCTAGAATTTGGACCCTCCGAACCAACAAATTCTAAAAAAAATTTCTTTTCCGAGATTATTAACCCAAAAACGGTTGCGGTCCGGAAAAGTGGTTCAAAACGTCGACTTATAGTACCAAAATTATCCCGATCGGTTGACTAGTCTTTGAGAAATTGCCAAAAACGTGTTTGTCCACATGGCCTTTTTTCACCACCTATATAGGTTTTGAGAAAGTTTTTCCACAATTCCTATTGAAAAAGCCTAAAAATAAATGAAACGAGCGTAGTAGCCCTGTACGGCACTGGAATAATGCAAAAAACCGGACCAAAATTGGGTTGGAGACAAAAATTTGGCCAATAACTATCAAATTTGGACCCTCCGATTCCTTCCTTTTCCAATCCTTAAGTCGTTAGCTCTATCCACGGAGCTAATCGGAGGGTTACTCAAGAATTTTTCTGGCAGCCGAGCATGTTATGCTAGCACGCTCCTAACACAAAAATTTTTATTGCTCTAACTCTAATAACTCAAAAACTCGATCCCCAAAACAGATTGACAAAATTCAGAAAACTATCGAAAATTTGATCGAAAATTTTTCGTTTTTTCCAACTTCTACTGAGTCTTTTCTCACGCGGTTTCTTTAGTCAGGGGGATTGAACTACGTAGCTACTCCCTATATAAAAGCTTTTTGCTGTTCGGAAAAGCTCGGATATCTAAAAATTTCGGGGTCTTTAGTTTGTCAAAAATCAGTAATTTTCGACAAGATATGGGTGTTTCTTGGGTCTAATTAGGAGATAACTAATATATAATAAGGATAATAACCTATTAGTAGTCGTTAATGAATAGTACGACACCCTCTTTTGCACCAAAATTCCCGAATTAAGACCCTTAACTCGGAAATTTGTAATCGATGGAGGGTACAATCGGACCACGCCAATCTTGCCCCCCCCACCACTTAAGTTTTGATGAAATAGTACCCGAACGATACCAAAAATGTTTCAACGATACCCAACAGTCGTTGTGGATGTTGTCTTTGATGTCTTTGTTGAGTGTGGAACACGTCGGTCAGCTTGCCACTCTACCCTCCGGCCACCGGCAAAATCACCATTAACGTGCTTAAATACTCAAATTACACTCAAGGGAGGGTATCCAACCCTTCACCAAAACACACAATCTTTCTATCAGAAATGATATAAATCAATCTGAAACAACAACAAATAGGAAGGTCAGATCACATCTCGTCCGGAAACAACATATAAATTGTCACTTTATGTTTTTTACTGTTTTTGGTCTTTTTTGGATTTTTTTACTGTTTTTTGTACTTTTTTTGTTTTCAAATAAATTTAATTTTGGCTTTTCCTTGGTTGTACACTATTTTTGTTTAGTTTTACGCTTTCTCTTTAATTGTTTTTGGTCCCGGGACCTTGGGACAAGCGGGCTCATGACTTCCCATCTAACCCTCCGGCCCCCGGAATTTTCGGTGTTAACTAGGTTAAAAAGCTAAATAGTACTAGGCGGAGGGTACGCACCTTTCCCCTAGTACAATAACGGTCATTAAGGCCTCTAACTTGGGCATACGCCCGGAGCGAAAGGTTCGTCGCTGAAACGTTTGCTGATCATGATGGTCTCATGCCTATAACAGGCCCACCCAGGAGCGCCATAAAAACGTCTATGTAACATTCGCCCAAATACTACACAGCGACGGAGCGTAGAAAAAGTACCTATTAACGACTGGCAGGCGTCAGTTACCTTAATCCTACTTGTTTATCACCGTCTCGACCTTGCCAGTTGATTTTCTGGTCTGTTTAGGGCTAAGTAAAAAGTTACTATTTTTAGGCCATCAGTCAAACGACTTTTGATCAGCTTTCGTTTACATGCGATCACAACCCCATAGCTGAGTCTTGGATCCTCAGACTACGTGATTGTTATTAAAAACACGGCTCGAATACCCTATTTTAATATGTTTTTGTGTGACAGTTCTATATTAAATCCATTGGAGATGGATTGACCCTTTCCTCTTTCTAGCTACTCATATTCTAAAATATCAAATAATACCGGTGTTAATTCAAAGTTCTTTGGCATCAGAGTAGCTAAAAAGTTAGTTTTCTGCAGTCCTTCAACATATGACAGTCTCTGGGGGGGGGGACAAGCCTCGGCTCCTGTGTTCTTCTCGAGATAACGCTGTTATCTCTCCCAATTTGTGGCACGGGAGGGTTCCGCGGAATATTCCTTCCCCACTGAAGCCTCCTTTCTCACTGTTTCTCTCTGCTATCGGTCTTATCGTGTGTGATTGCCACGATAAGAGTCTTCGTTTTTCTCGTATTCTCGTGCGACTGTTTTTCACTATATTTGTCGTTGTTCTGTTTTTTCGTTCTATTTCGTCAAAATGGCCGTCTTTTTGTATTTCTGAGAAATACTTGCCCGTCAATCGAAATTTTAAAAATTTAAATTTCCGGAATATTTCGACCCTCCTTCGCAGCACTTTTTTGTTACTAAGGCCTTTAGCCGTCTTTTTCTGTCCCGCCGGAAGGTTGCGCTGTGCCAATCTGGCAGAATGGCACAATGATCAACAATATCTCGGAAGCAACTGGTCATGAGTGCTCGAAACTGTCGTCTGCTGGATTTCGGAACGCACTTTAGAATCCTTGGTCTGCACTCGATAATCTGTTTCAACAAAATTCTGCTGTCTGGTGGTCGGTCTGGGGGAACATTGATAGCTAAATTCGAGAAAGCCTCTGAAAGCCCTGGAATCAGAGGAGTGATTTGGGGACAGGATACACAAATAAAGTTTTCATACCACTGTTCATTTGGTCGCAATCCACTGCATTTGCGGTGTAAGTACCCACATATGCCGCACCATACCCCTCTTCCTCGCAGATGCTTCGCGCACTTGCTGCAGTGAGACTGTTTCGCGGGGTCGTCAACTTGTATGGCGTCTGGTTGCCTCTGAGACTGGTTGCATACCGACATGATCATACCGACCATTGGGTCTTCAAGCTGCATACTCTCCATCGCTTGAGTATGTCCAGAGGACAGACCCATGTTGTCGTCAATCACCATGTCCTGCATCTGTTGTGTGAGTCCGGAGGAATGCGATTGGCAAATCTGGCAAATGAATGCTTCGTCAATTGGTAGATTATTCACGGCTGCATGGCTCGTGCCCGCGCAGCTGAAGTGATACCATCTACAGCATTGTTCACACAGAATTCCGCGGCTGATGACAGTTTTCCCAAACCTACATGATTCTTTCCCACATGGAGCGGGGCCATCCTTGCCTCCGACCAGTTCACTTGCAAAACGCGCTCTTCGCTACTTCGTTGTTATCATTTAAGGTTATCGGAAAACTATTTAATAAGTTTATCACAACAATTGGCTAATGAGAAAATTTTCGGCTTGAATTCTCAAATTTTACAATTCGGCTTCAAGTCCCGTCGGCTTGATGCCCGGCACCCATCGATTTTTTCTCATTTTCTTTTCGCTAGCTTTCAATGCTACACTTGCATAATCTGGCAAGCAATTCAAAGCTCTTTTTCGGCTCTGTGATTTTGTCAGATCTAGTTTGTTGGAGTTTCGGCTTGGTGGCTTTTCTGTCCTCTGGTTTAACATGCTTTGTTTGTTTTTTATCGCTAGTGGCGTGAAGCAACGCTTCGCCTCGAAAATGTGAACTTGATCAATAGTTCCATCGTGGAATGCTTATGTTTTCTCGCAGTTACAAGATGTGTCGTATTTCAGACATCAGTTATAAGTCATGAGTGCAATAAATGAAGGAGAACATTTTTTGCTAAACCATCCAATTCCTAATTTTTTGGGAGAATTTGATCAATCCGCCTCGGTTGGTAACCAGAGTTTCAGTGAATCATTTGACTTGCCTAATGTATCGCCGATTGACATTGACGAAGCGTTAAAGAAAGAAATCAATCAGACAGTGAAACCATCAGATTTATTTAAGTACGATTTTTTGTTTGATAGAAAAGCTGGCGTGGCAAAATCAGCAAATGTAAAATTCAGGGATTCAAAGCCCGAAACTGATTACTCATCGAAGCTCAGTAATCCAAACAATCTGCTCAAGAAATTAGCCATACTAAGTCTAGAAGAGAGTTTTGAAACGTTCGCACCCAAAGTTACCGATTTGTCTTTGCCGGACAATTTATCCGACTTTGTTCTTAACGAATTTCCTCTTGATGTATCACCTGAGGTTTCAAATTATCAAAAAGTTTCGAAATTGGAAGTTATTAATATCGCTAGCAATACAAAGGTTGCCAGCTCGACAACAGTTCCCATATTGAACAACGCTAAAAGTAATTTTTTTGTAACCATTTTTTGTTACTCTTGATTTGTTATTGATTTTACCGGTAAATTGTTCATTTAGGAGAAGGTTTTCAGTTTGCCAAGCTTTTGAAAGCGAACGAGCAATATGAACCCAAGGAGAAAGTCATTGACTACCCTTTTGAGCTAGACTTCTTCCAAAAGGCTGCCATCGTCTGTTTGGAAAACAGGGAGCATGTATTTGTGGCTGCGCATACTTCTGCTGGAAAAACCGTTGTTGCTGAATGGTCTATTATGTTGGCGATGAACAACCACAGGAAGGCCATTTATACCTCTCCAATTAAAGTAAGTATTGATCGATCATCAAATGATCTCATGCAACAGTACCACTCCAACGCAGCCTGAACGAGAGCTTATAAATCAAAATTTGGATATTTGTATCTAAGTCAGTCAGGCAAATATTTAGTTGTCAAATGTATTAAACTCATGAGAGCATGTGCTGTAGATGTTTTTTTTTCATGCCCAGTCCTCGTTGTACAAGTAACGAAAAGTTCAAAATGCAACTGTCATTGTGATGATAGAGTGTATGGCGATGAGTTGTTGATTTTTGCTCACTGAATGTAGATTGTTGGCGGTACAATTTTTCCCAGTTTTTTCTCAAAATTTACATATAGTTTTAATTGAAATATTTTGAATTTTGCTTGAAATATTTGCCTAGCGTTGTAGTGTGATAAAAACAGTTATAATGAAAGTGTATGGGTTTTGGTTTTTTAGACGCTTTGGAAAGTTTCAATTTTTGCAAAACTATTTGTTTCTTCCCGAAAATTTTTCTACAGGTTTTCAAAAAAGGTTATCCATAGAAAAACTGCTTTCATTTTTGCGTGCCTGCATACTTCCTTGCTCTCTTTTTGCTCAGTTCCTTTGTATACGGCCTTCGAAAAAATCTGTGGGGAAATATTTGACCTAAATTTTCTTTTTCGTAACCTTAAGACTGAGATTTTGGTTTCAATGACTGTAAAAGATTTGAAAAGCTCTCATCCAGATAGGCCCAAATCTTTTCCAGATAAAATTATGTCCCTCGGAATAGTCACATTTTTGACCGTTTTTGGATCTTTTTTATAACTTTTCTCGAAAACTAAGCTCCCAAATCTAAGGCTGTGGGCTCAGTGGAGATAAAGGGTACTGGGAAGCTCCCCTGCATTAGAGGCCACTCACAATTTTTCTACCCAAAAAAATTGTCGTTCTCGGAAAAATCAATTTTTTGATTTTTTTTGCGGTTTTTTTCTAGTTTCTATGAATATTACCAAAAAATACCCTCTCATATCTGAGATTTGAAGTTCAATCAAAAAAACCGGCTGTGAGAAGGCCCTTTGCATACGCAAATACGCCAAAAAAAGATTTTGACACAAAAAATTATAGCCCTAGGAAAAGTCATATTTTTGATTTCTTGACTGTTTTTTTTCGACTTTTTCGAGATCTACCAGCCAATTTTGGGTTCCACCGAAATATCAGATTGGGTGAATTTTTTCTGCATAAGCGGCTACGCTCAACTTTTTAAAAGAAAAAGCTCGGAAATGTCAACTTTGATTCGTTGACTGTTTTTTGGAATTTTCTCAACTATCCTGCCAAATCTGATATGATAGATTCAATCGACCCAGCAGGTTGTTGGAAGCTGTCTTCTTTAATTTGCTACGACCATTTTTGTTTAAGTAAAAGTGTTGAATCGAGGAAGTCGATTTTGGGAATCGTCTGTATTTTGCCAGCCACGACCTGCTTTTGAAATTACTCATATCGTCCCGCATCAGTATAACAAATTTTTAAAATATCAATTATGTACCTGCAGCTTTAGCTGAGCCCTAGGTATCCTTCATCGAGACATACGAAAGTTTTGGTTCTCCTAGTATTTTTTTTCTTTTTTTTTTCTTCATTTTTTCGATTTACGTTTTTCTATGATTGTGTTCTATCGCAAGTAGTGCGAATCTCCGCTTCGTCTCTGTGGTAAAAACTCCATTGTCATAATGAGTGAGGTATTATATCAGAGCTTTTTACAGGTTAACGAGCAGATACTTGTCCTCTTTGGACAGTCCTGATGATTACCATTATCTATTGTTATGAAATCGGAACACACACATTTTTTTGTTGAAAAGTTTGTCTCACATAATCATCGAATCGTTTGGTTCAAAATAAAAAACAGCTGCTGACTATGCGCAATTGACATTGACGCCGAGTCGAAGTGTATGTTTTAAATATAATAGATTAGTGCGTCAGCGCGACGTAGACGTAGATTTCTTGCGAACTGAATTATTTTTGCGTGTAAAGCTTTTTTGACCGCAGCACGGAATTTTATGACCAAATAATTACCGCAGCACGTTTTTTTGAGATTCATAACATATTGCAATCGTATGTTAACAAAAGCGAACTTGCAAGCCTTGTGTTATATTACGAATCTACTTTTTTCCAAAACGAACCCATAGAATAGTGCTCATTTAAGAGGCCTTTTTTGTTGCATAATACTGGCAGTTTAATAGCATGTGTTCTCCGCTTTATGAGTGACCAATGTTTCGGTTCTTTATGTGCTAGTTTCAAATGTGTGTTGGGCGATAACCTTGGTTTCTCGAGGCGCGTGGTTTCATTCCCGTAGAGGGAATGTTTTTCAGAACTCAATATTATTTTTTCTGCTTTTTTCTTGCCTTTTTAAAGCTACTTCAAGGCGTTTTGGTGCTTGTTTTCGCAAAAAACTGCTACGAATTTTTTGGTTGTCATAAATTGTCTCGCCGAAGGTTAGAAATTAACTCTTTTCCAAATACGTTCGTTTAATTTTCATCCAAATCCAAGTTAATGTTCTATAGGCACTCTCAAATCAGAAGTTTCGCGATTTCAAACAAAAGTATGTGGGACACAGTGCGTATCCGAACTTCAGTGTTGGAATCTTGACGGGCGATGTTCAAATTGACGCCGATTCATCGTGTCTAATTATGACTACAGAAATTCTGCGCTCAATGCTGTACCTGAACTCGAGCATAATATCAGAAGTTGATTTTGTGGTATTCGACGAAGTTCATTATATAAGCGACGAGGAACGAGGCGTCGTTTGGGAAGAAACATTGATCATGTTACCGCCATCGGTCACTATTGTTATGCTTAGCGCCACTGTCGGTTGGTTGGGCCTATTCGTTGTTTATCTCCCAGTTGGAAATGTTTTTTCAAATAGTTTGTTTTATAGGAAACGCTATGCAGTTTGCTAACTGGCTCGGAGGCATCAAGAAGCGAATGGTTAATGTTGTTTTTACAGCCGAACGACCAGTTCCTTTGACCCATCATTTATACACAGGGTTCAAGGTCAAAGGAAAGAAGGAACCAGAAATGCTTTCATTTTTGACCGCGGATAAAACAGTTAACGAGACAGTTGTAAGAACTGCGGAAATGACGATGAAAGAAAACAGAGATAGCGGTGTATCGAAGCATGAAAAACTGTTCAAGTTGCTGTCGAAACTGAAACGGGAATGTTTGATGCCAGTGATTGTGTTCGTCTTTTCCAAGAAACAGATAGAGGAGTTGGCAACTAGAATGAAGGGAGACTTCACGGCTGACAAGCATGAGAAGTGGCACATTGAGTGTTTTATCAGAAGGAAGTTGGAGACTGTGAAAGCGGACTATGTGCAGCATAGTGCTCAAGTAGAGCAGCTGAAGGCTCTTCTTACTCGAGGAATAGGTTGGTTCATTCCTAAAGTTAAAAAAGTCGAATAAATACTTTTTCGGGTTAACAATTTGCTTAACAAATTCACTTGAACCATGGTATCTTGGTTCATATTGAGTTCAAAATTCTTAGCGTCTCTGGTACACTTGATTTGGAGGTAACGAATAGGCCTCGGACATAAAAGCTCCTGGGTTTGAATCTGACCGGTACCTGTGTTTTTTTTCTGCTGGTTTAGTTGCCATATCCTAAAATTTTTTATGCTGTACACAATTTCATAAAGCGCTTCTGGAGTTTTAATTTACTGGAAATTGTAATATTACTAGCCTTGACTTCGTATATATACCTTGACTTCCTTTATATACCACTTCACAACTTTGATCGGCCCAAATGGTTTCGGCCTACTCATAGTTCAAAGTTTTTCATGACATCAATTTTGTTTTCGGTTCTACGGTATGTTACCCAAGTTTTGTAGGCTGTTGCCGCTGGATGATTGTTTTTGAATTTTCATTTCAATAACCGCCGTCGATTGTGTTACTGGAGATATTTTCCGCAAATAGAACCTCTTTCCTTACATTTTTAGTTCTTTAATCGTTCTTTTTTCGAGGTTTTAAATTTTTTCTGGACTTAGTGGCTCTTCTTTCCTTTCCTTCTTGCTAATTTGAAATGCTATTTTCAGTATTATCGCAAGTGGTGCGAAGATCCGCTTGGCTTCTGTATTGAAGTGGTCAATACTCAAATTAACTGGTCATGATCGAAGTAATGCCTAATCCACCCTGCTAGTAATTGATACTAAGAAATAACTAAGAAAGTTTGGGTTGAAAGTTTATCTGAAAATTGATCGTCATTTCAAATTAAAAAATAGAATCCTCTCTAAATAAGATCAGGTGCGGATCTGGAACTTTCTCGTGGGCACCTGAGATTGTGGGCTTTATAAAAAAATTTAGCGTCGGTCAGCCGAAAATGGATGTCGTAAAATAGTAGCCTATAACTTTGTGTGTTCAGAGTATCGAATTCTCTAACTCCGCCACTGTATACGAGTGACATGTTCGGAAGGTTTAAGTTATCTAGGTCAAGAGGTTCTTCTCACAGAGTTAAGTATCGAAGTTTTCTTTTCGATTCCCCATTAAATAAACAGCTCGTTGTATGGATTCAAGGGTTATATCTTCTGTACTTGTCTGTATTATTGAGTTCACGGTTTTTGACGAGGAGGTGGTTTTATTAAAACCTTGTGTTGTCATTTTGGGGAACTTGTAAGGTTTTGACATGTTGTCTGCGAATGGTCCTCTTCGAAAGATGGATGCAGGTTGATTCCCAAAGCCGCTACTGATTCTAATGGTGATCCTCATTTCAGGCGTGCATCACAGTGGTATTTTGCCAATTATGAAGGAGATTGTGGAGTTGCTGTTTGCCAATGGCTTCGTAAAAGTCCTCTTTGCCACTGAGACGTTTTCCATGGGAGTGAATATGCCTGCCAAGTCTGTGGTGTTCACAGCTGTGAACAAATTCGGAAACATCGACAACACCACCAAACTCGGAAGAAGGTAAGAAGGGATCTCTTCTGTTAAACGGCCTAAATTTGGAAAATAATTAATAAAAAACGTTTACTTCCATTGCCTAACCAATTTTGTTAAGACTTCAGGAAAAATATTTATTTCATTGGCGAACAAAAAATATTTATTTCATTGGCGAGCAAAGTTTTGTTTAGACTTTTGAAGCCAGAGGAATACATCCAGATGGCTGGTCGAGCTGGTAGACGAGGTCTGGACTCGACAGGAACTGTCATCATCTTCTGTGACAGATCTGTTCCCCACAGCCAAGACCTCAGATCTCTCACCACAACAAAACTGGCATCTCTGAGAAGCCACTTTCAGGTTACCTATTCAATGATTCTGAAGATATTTAGATCAGAGAGTCAACTGAACATCGAAGACATGATGGGAAGGTCTTTCTCGGAGATTTGGAGGATATTTCACCATGAGAAATCAGTCACGCAAGCTGCTTCGCTTGAAGAAGATTTAGACCAAGGTGACGGATCCAACAGATACGATTGCGAACAGTGCTCGGACGTAACGTTACAGAAGTTTGTAATGAGTTCGAATGATTATTACGAAACTTTGAGAGAAATATACGGTACATTCAAATCACGAGTGGTTAGCGAATTTGTGCAGGTTGGTAGACTTGTAGTGCTCAGCTGGCCTGGTTTTGAAAATATGCTTGGAGTTGTGGTTCAAGTCTTTAGAGATACATCAATGATGGTTCTAACGTCACTCGATAATGTCAATAGTGAGTCGGAGTTCATCACAGCGCCTCCTGTGGGGATAGTTTTTTCCAATTTTCCTCTTTTTGGCGAACCTCCAAATCTAAGCTGCAAAGTTTTGGCACCCTGCCTTGTTACATGCAATACGCAACATGTGCTCTACTTTTGTCGGGAGAAATTACACATCGAACAATCGGAGGCGAAAGATATCGTGAAAAATTTTGAGCAGCGAGCCAGATACAACAAAATACCTTTTCCGTTTGCGAGAGTTGTTTACAAAATTTTGGAAAGCTTGTCAACCGCTTTGAAAAGTTTTCTTCCGAAGGCGGTGAATAGCGTAGATGCAAGAAGTCTTTTCCCGCTGAAGACTAAATCATTACGAGTTCACGATTTGGAAACGAATTTTGAAGCTGTTTGCAACTGTTTGAACGGATACTATAATGACTGCACTAAATTCTACGAGCATGCAAACTTCTACAAACTACGGATGTCTAAACAGAATGAATTGAAAAAGTTGAAGGCGAATTTGAGCCATGAATCTTTACAGAGCTATCAGGACTACCAAGACAGAAGAGACATTTTGAAACGATCTCAGTATTTAAACGATAGCGATAAACTAACATTAAAAGGAAAAGTGGCGTGTCAAATTTCGATTCAGGAAATTCCGATCACTGAGTGTTTGTTTGCAAATGTTTTTCACGAAATGAGCCCACCCGAAATTGCAGGTTTTTTGTCAGTTTTTGTGTTTCAAGGTCCACCGAGTGAAGAACCCGATATTGATAAATTTGTCGAGAATATTCGAATAAGAAATGTGATCATAGAATTCTTCAGACTGAAAGAAAAGTTAATGCTTGAAGCTCAAATTGTAGATTTTGGCCTGGTGGGTTATGCTGAAATATGCGTCAATTTAGCGGATACAGTTTACCTTTTCTCGAGCAAAGCGAGTTATACAGAAATTATTCACAGTGTCTCAAAGTTAGAAGAGCTGGGAGCAAAACCGGTGCTAGAAGGTGATATTGTGCGGTGTCTGCAGCGTGTTGAATATCTAGTTCGTGAACTACGAGCGGCTGCTTTTCTGATCGGAGATCCAAGTTTAGTTGAAAAATTTGGCGAAGTGCACACTACATTTAAAAATGAATTAGTGTTTGTAAATAGTTTGTACCTGCAAAGTTAATTGAACTATTGGCATTGAATTAGTCAATTGGTCAAAAAATGTTTGGCGAATAAAGCCTTAATAAATTGTGATTTAAATTAATTTTTGAAGACCAGCTCAAATTATTTTTTCTCCAATATTAAATGTACTTTTTATCTTCAATATTAAACGGTAAATCTTGCAAAGTTTTGCTTTACTTCAAAACTGTATTACTTGTGATATCCGTGCTTACCCGTGAGGGAATCCTTCATACCAGAAGGAGTAAATACCTGGAAATTATCATTAATTAATGTTCGCAATTCTCAAAGAAACAAGCTGGTAAATTAATATTGTGCGTTTTAAATGACGTTGATTGGTTCAGAAGTCACGCATTTAGTGTTCGTCGTAAAACTAGCCCTCGTACTGAAGAATTTTTAAACGGGAAGTTTTGGGGTTGCGAAAACGTCGTTTACCTTGACCATATAAGGGCTGTGATATTTCGAGACCTCGGCGTGTTCATGGGAAAGACGGTTTGACTCAGCTTAATGTAGCTCAAAAAACGGTTCTATCCGTGTGTCGTGTTATGTTCCCTTCGTTAAATGCCTACGAAAGAAATGAATACAAAAGGTTTTCAGTTTTTTTTCAGAACAGGTCTTAAATTTGGATCACGCGCTAGTTTGGTGTTTCACGTTTTGACTTTTGTTTTCTTTGTAAGTTCACTTCAAATTAACCTACAAGTTATGCTCCAAAATAAAAAAGAGCAATTAGCGCGAAAAGAAACTCGAATGTTCTGACGTTTTGAACTTGATTGATTTTAAGCTTTAAAGTAGATATGAGCAATCAGATTGACTAGTGGTACAACAAATTAACCTGTTAATGTTTTCTGACATTGAGTTGGCGTTGCAAAAAAAGTGGCAAATTTAAGAGAATCAGAAAATTCAAGGATTTTGAAAGAGATTTAATTTTTTTTGACATTTCCAGAATTTTTTCTGCAAAAAATAATCTCTAAATGTTGTTAAAAGCAATGTTGAACTGAGAAAAAGTCCATCTTTTTGATTTTGAACGTGTTTTGGATTTTTCGATTTTGTTGAAAACTGCGGGGCCAAGTCTGAGGTTGAGGGTTCAGTCGAAACAGCAACATAAATAGTTTTCACTGCTAAAACGAAACCTCGCAATTTTTGTAAGGAATCTACTATAAATTTTAAGAAACAGAATAATTGACTTTTTGAACAATTTTTTGGCTGTCAATCATTTTTGGAAAAAACCGTATCACTTTGAAATTGAGAAACCAATCTACCCTGCTAATTGCTTCTCGGTTCATTTAATAGCGAATTAGCTATGGACTTGGTAAATTTACACTCGGAAGTTTTAACACATTTTGTAGATTTTAGCATTAAGGGTTCAATAGAAAGCACAAGCTCTGGGGAGCTCTCCTCTGTAGGAGCTGCTACACCCTAGTTTTTTGTAGAAAAGGCGTTATTGACATTGAAAAAAAATTCACCCTGACTGGGGTGTTAGCGTACAACCCTGTCTTCAGTTGTTTACCCTTGCTATAAGCAAGGGTATTGCAATCGGGTACTAGACTTTTTTCCCGTAAACAACTTTGTCCATAGGACTCACCTCTGGGCTACTTCACCTCTTCGTCCTTTTAATACTAAAATACTACTCCTCTCCTACTCCCGGTTGCAAATAATAAGCATGGTTAAGCATATTATTTTAACTATCCGTGCTTTAAAAGTTTGCTGTTTATGTTGGTTGTGATTTTTCCAACTCGATTTGTTTGGGCTTAAGTTTTTTTCGGCTTAATATGCTTAGGCCTTTTTAATACCGGCTTGCAGGCCTAATTTCGAGTAGTTTCAAGGGAACATATTTTTTATGCTCACCTCTGGATTGCTCAAAATCTTAAACATCTTACTAGAAATTATAGTTCATTTTGTCAATTTTTTTTCGGCCTGTTAAGTTTCGGCCTATATTACATCGGCTTAGTCGCCTCATATTCGTCGTTTCACGAGCTGTGTATGTGTTTTGAGTGTGAGGGGGACTTTTTATTAGCTTTAAATTTAATTTTTTTGGCTTTGTTTTTTTTTTCATTTTTTGTCGGCTTTATAGGTTTCGGCAACATTATATCGACATAGGGGCCGAATATTGTTTCATTAGACGCGTGAATGAAGTTTGTCTGTGTGTGTGTCTTTGTTTGTTTGTTTGAGGTTGTCGGGGACTTGATAGTTTTTTTTTAAAAAATTCGGCCTAATGCATATCTGCTAAGGTATTTCCGGTTGTGTTTCCGCTTGATACTTCTCTTCGATGCTAGTTTTACGTTCTATTGTCTTGGCTCAGTTTTTGTTTCAAATCTAGTCTTATCGATAGCTTTAGTTTTTTCGACTTAGCGGCTTTCTTGTTTTGTATCGCCTCTGTAAGCCTTTTTTATATCTCATCAAAGTTTAAGAATGGTGTACTCCCAAAAAAAATTGCACAAAAAATTAAAACATTCCTTTTTTTAAATTAATGTTTTGTTTGTTTTGGCGGTTGTTTGCAATCGAAAAAAGATTTAAGTTATACAAGATTAACAAGACTGCTCGTATCAAGCCGAAGCCCTAAATGTTCCGACTGCCTTTTAAGGTTTATGGAGCAGTAATAACATAAATATCGTTAAGCCAACACAATTTGAGAAAAACGCCGTTTAAGTTTCAAATTTAATTAGTTTTGTCCGGATGAATTACATCAGCACTGTAATAAGGTCAAACTGAAATTGCTGATTATTTGAATGAATAGTCTTTGTTTTCTTAATAACTGAAAACTTTAGAAAGTTACTTCCTGAAGTTTTTGTGGGCTAAGTTTTTTGTAATTCCTAATAACTCTTGCGTAACAAACTATTTCGTGGAAAAAAGAGTTAAATAAACTTCGAATTCGATCGCAACCATACGCATAATTATGCATCAATTTTTTGGTTTCTTTTGGTAACTTTTTTGAAGAAAAAGAATAGAACTGCTGCGAAACAACTTAGAATTGAATTTTGAAATTTGTTGAACCGAAATTCTCAGATAAATTCGTCTGTGCATTGGTTCTAAAGGGGGACCCTTTGTGTTATTCTAAAGGGGGACCCTTTGTGTTAAAGGGTTTTAAGTCTTGTTTGATGTTTTTTTGATGTTCATATGTCGACAGCATAACCTTCGCTACCAAGTGCGCTTGCGCTCTCTACCATTCATTCAACTTCATAGTTATCTCTATTTCTATATTTCCTCCTAATATTACAGCCATTTTTCAAGTTCAAGGAACAGGCCCAAACTTGTTCTTATGGCAAAAGCACGACCAAGTTGTGGGAGGGAGTTAAATTAAAATGTGTATCCGACTGAGTGAAATTGCTATTCGGTACAAATACTGTTTTTTTTTCTAAATCAGTTTTTTGAATGATACTGGTAAGAAAACGCCTCTTTTAATGAATGCTGTTGAACTTCACATTACAACATCATCGTTTGTTTGATTAATGACTGGTCTCAAAATTGCTGTTCTTTTTATTTGGTGTTATTCAGTGGTGACATTTCTATTTCTGGCAGAGTATTCGCTCGGTCAATCCCCGAAGTCGCTTTTAATTCCTTACTTAGGTAAGCGTCTTTCGCTCTGCAAATACCATCGAGTAGCAGAATGTTGGCTTTCGTACCATCTAACCTCCAGCTAACAATTTGTAGTATGTTATGTTTGTGCTTTCGTGTGTTGTTGATACCAAATACAACTTAATGACGTGGTAGTCTGATCTATTTTTAGTACTGTAGCGTAAAACGACTTTTCTTCATTGCTCTGATTGGTCGTTGTTGAAGAATGTTCACATTTTTTATTAGTATATGGATGAAAAATCATCAGACGAAGGCATCACGTTTGTGTTACCAGTTTTCCAGGTTTTAACTAACCAGAGTCTTCTGTCGTAGACGTCAAAAATTGTGATATGTGACAAAGCAAACTTTGTTCATTCTTCGAATTTTTGTTCTGATATTAACATCTTGTGACGAAATTCTGTCGAAAGTTTCAAATAGTCTCGATTTGTTTTTTAAATTTTATTGGCTCAGTTATTGTACCAATATACGCGACGTACCGCCTGAAGCTTAGACTGCGAAGATAAATTGCTATAAAAGTTACTCTGCTTACGATCTAGGCTATCTGATTGTGCTTTTATTATTATCTATCTAATCACTCTGTTTTCTTTTGTTTTCTACTCATGGTTCGTTTTCAGATGGTTGAAACAAACGATTAGTTTGTCTAACTCTCGATATCAACCGAGTTAATTTATTTGAGAGCCACATTCGTGAAATGATATTTAACCGATCTTCTGTAAAAATCAGACCTCGTTTCTTCCCTCAAAGTAACATTTCTTTACCTCTAAGTTGTAACACTAACCGTTGAAGTAACACGTCTTTCTATAAACAGTTATCAGAAGATATCATAAGAATTTGTGAACATTCTATCTAAAGTTTCTTATTTATTGCGCCTTGTTTGGCAGTATTATTAGTTGCAAGTTTTTTTGTTTTCCTCGCACATATTCTACCTCATCTTATAATGGCGTCTAGAGATGCATTAAGCAATCAAGAAAACCTCACTTCGGTCGAAGCTGAGAATGTTGCAGAATCTAAAAGTAATAAGAGAAGGAAAAGCTCGTTGGAGTCGTTATTTGGGTTCCTCACAATCCGCAAGTCCAAGTGGATCAGACTTTCACCGTTTAAGAGACGCAATGATAGAAAATGTGGAACCCAGGACGAAAACGCACAACCCAGCAGCAGTAGACAACATTGGCAGCAGGATCTGAGACGGACGGAGTCTGATATACAGGGTCGTCCAATATACCCAAGAAACCGCCCCTCTTTCCAAAGTGAGTACTCTATAGGTTCATAATTTCAGGCTTCCTGATATGAATGGGTACACGCGCACTAACAAAGTTTTTGTATCTGAGAACAATTGAAGTAGTTTTTAGGCTACAGTTTTTACCATCTATGTTTAAATAACATTTGCAAATTTTTTTTTCAAACGAGGTAACTTTCAAACTCAAGGCGTTTTCCAGGTGATCACTTCATCTGCGAAGATGACTTAGCTGGTGTGGCTTTCGATTAAAGATGTTTCCGGGAACTGACAAGCTTTTGATTTTCTCAAAAATCTGTTAGCTCACCACTCGAATTTTTGATTATTTTCGGTTCAAACAAGTACCCACTGGTTTTTTCCTACCGCTCAGTATGAGAAGGAATCTTGTAATCGAGTGTTTTATAACGCATTATCAGCGGCCTAGCTCGAGCCATAAATCTAAGATAAATCAACAAACCTAAAAGCAGACTTGTATTCAGTGGCGGATTTATGGGGATTTACGCCTCCCCCCTCAGGGATTCGACCCACTCACCAATCAAAAGGTCCTCGCTTCGGTATTTCTTATGACATCCTTTTTTGACCGACCAAACTTCAAGTTAGCCTTTGGCGCCAATATATACTGACCTTAAAGGGGAGCGCACCGGCAAAAAAAACTTAATTTTTTGGTCTAAACTTTCCAAAAAGTACCCAACAAAGGAGCGCACTTTTTTTTCAAAATTTGCCTTCGGCGCAGAAAGTTTGCCTCCGCCCGCCTGCTGAAAATTCTAGATCCGCACCTGTTTTATTTCTTAACTGATGGCGTTGTAAGCATCTCAGGTTCTTGTTACAAAAATTCACAACTACTCTGAAGGTCAAGAAATATTAGGGCAATGCTCCTGTTGTTTTCAAGGCCCGATTATTTTTTAAAGCCTCAAAAACTATCATCAGATTTAGTTTCTACTTCAGGCATGCAGTTCGACGCTAAAGTCAATGGGCATGGCGATGTAGGGCTTATTGGAACTACTGCTGGAGGAGAGTGGTACTATGAACAGACTTTCAACAGAGAGACATGGAGAGTGAAGCAGAGGTTCCAGTCGCTCAAGGCAGTCAACGGAGGTGCATTCGGAACTGTGTGGTTAGTAGAAATTAAATTGCTGCTCATTTAGTTACGAACAAGTTCTCAAGTTCTCTAGGCAGATAAGTGCTAATTATGAATGGTTGCTTAGAATTTCAATCAGGATTGCGCAGTACAGGCAACGCGTTAAAGTTTAGACGCATATGCAAAAAAAAATGCGCCAATTTTAGATCCGCGTTATTGATAGTTTAATAAACATTTTGTTGTTTTCGTTACAGCAGTGCTATTGACACGGTGACAGAGAAAGAAGTGGCCATTAAAAGGATGAACCAACCCTACAAGTCAGAAATCCACTCGAAGCGAGCCTTGAGGGAATTGAAACTGCTGCGATTTGTGCAGCACGACAACCTCATTTCCCTCGTGGACGCATACACTACAGCTACTTCGTCCAATATGATGATAGATCTTTATCTAGTCATGCCTCTACTGGATACAGATTTGCACCAGTTGATCCAGCAGTTCAAGGTTTCGTCTGACCAAGGAATCCTCTCCCAGGACTACATACACTTCTTCATGTACCAGATACTAAGAGGGCTCAAGTACCTCCACTCAGCTAACATCATGCACAGGGTTTGTAGTCCATTTTTGTCATAGTTCATGAGATTAGTTTTGGAACTGGAATTTCCACTACCCATGTTTCGAAAACGTGATTTTCGAAAATACATTTTTCTTTTAAATTGTATTTCTATTTCTGAAAAACGTTTTCACATTTTAAAAAAAAAAAGTGTCGTTTGTGCGTAGTGTTTTTGATTAGAGAATTTTGTGAACGCGTAGAACGTTAGTAATTCAGACATAATCGACAACAGTGGTCTTCAAGAAATGAATAACAAACAAAAATTGAAAAAAATTTTCAGAGGAAAGAAACTTCGGTGACCTGTTTTGTTCATTTCAGGACCTGAAACCAAGCAACATTGCCATCAAAACAGATTGCTCTCTAAAGGTAACAAAATACTTGGCTTCATTTTTTCATATGATCCCAAGTTGCTGTGCATTTACTGAAAGTTAGGTTGTTCCAGATTATTGACTTCGGTCTATGCCGCAAGTTCAACACTGAGGTCACTGGTTATGTCCAGACCAGATGGTACAGGGCGCCAGAGGTCATGATTGACTGGAAGCACTACACAGCTGCAGGTATATATAACATTATCTGGTTTGGTATCGCTTGAAGCGCTACCGTACTTGTTTAATAGGTCTTTTTTTAAACAGATGGCTCATTAACTCGAAAGAATGATTTTCGAGCTTAGCATTATAAATGATCGGATATGAATGCACTAATAATGATGTAATTTCTAGTCGATATCAAATGATTCCAGTTAAAATGATTCCAGTTAAAATGATTACAGTTAATAAAACAAAAAAATGATTTTTGAAATTTCAAAAAAAAGGTTTTTATAATCTAATGAGCGTGCAGTCGAAAAGCCTGCCAATTCTTTTTTACATTCAAAACATTGTTACACAATTATAGGTAACAATTTGTCGACCAAAGAAACTTTCTAAGCTCTCGCAAATCACCGCAGACAAATTTTTGAATTAAAAATGCCAGAAACGAAGTTTTTAGTCACAATTTTTTCGAAGGTTTTTGATCTGCTCACTCCCAAAAAAAAACGAAGTTATTTTTCATGAGTTGAAGCAAGTTCAACATGTATTTAAACAATATTCAAATTAATTTGACCCCGAGAGGACTGCAAAAAATCCTAGTAATTGAACTTTGCTTACAATTGCTGGATTGGTGAAACAAAAACGATTGAGTTGAGTGAAAGGGGGGACCAATGCAGGGCGAGATTTTTCAAATTTTAGTTTTTTGTTATTTTGGTTCAAAAAACGTCCCGTTTGAAAAAAACTTCTTGAACTTAATGACTTTGTTATTGCCGCCTCTTCTATTTCCGACATATTCTTATAGCCTCCGTAACAGCAACATATATGATTGGAGGTTTTTGTTATTGAGTAAACAAGTTCAAGAAGGTTACAGTTTCCCAGCAGGTAACTAAAACCCTACTTCTAAATATTAAAAATACTGATTTATCGCTCGAATATATTTTTGCACAGTTCCATGTTCTGGTTATAAGACATTTCAAGATAATCGTGAATAAACTACCTTTCAATATTTGTTAATGAAGTATTTTTTTTTGGGTTAATAGATACTGTTTCTTAAGAGAATTAAAAAGTTTTATTGCACCGAATGGAACTTCTTATTTTTTGTTTTACACAGGATTTTTTTATTGGAGGCTATTCTGATAGCATTGTAAGTCGATTTGCAATTTGAGCTGAAAGTAAGTTAATCAGAAACTCAGAATGAAGACTAGCAATTGAACACAAAAAAATGAATGGCTCATAATCGTGCAATTCATAAATAGTTCAAACTTTTTTGGAACGAAAAGGTCCCCCAAATGAGCAAACTTGCTTCTAAAAAGCTTAAAAATTTTCTTTTGCATTAAACAGCTTGATTTTAGATTTGAAAAAACCTTCAAATCATCATCCGCTACTGAAGAGAGGATTTTCCGTGTTGAAACGTTCAGTAGGCGCAAGTTGTATACGGTCATTTCAACGCCATATACATGCATCTAGATAATGGTTGAAGAAAACTTAATATAGACTATTAGCGTCTATTCTTTCTATCTATGTGCTGTTTGTGTTGTAGTGGACATGTGGTCGTTGGGTGCTATTCTGGGGGAGATGTTGAGAGGGCGGCCTGTGTTCAAAGAGGACGACCACGTGGAACTGCTGAAGAAGCACATATTCATCTGTGGCACTCCAGACGATGCCACTCTGCAGTTATACGAGAGCGAGCAGGTGAGTTTCTTACTAACTATTTGTTGTGGAGTCTTACAGTTTAATAGTTTTCCATCTCTCAACTTTGAATTCTGTTATTTTTCAAAATTAGTTCCATTTTTCTTTTAATGTTAAAGGCAGTCACATTCATCAGGGAACGACTGAACAACCAGCCCAGAGTCGATTTCCGAACATACTTCAACGGAACTGAACCCTGTAAGTAAATATCATTTGGACCTTATTGTTACTTTATTACATCGAAAGAATGTATTCCATGTGTATGTATATAAAAACCCAATGATGGGGTTAAAAGCACCCTGATTTTGACACATCCAATTCTCGCTTTTACCTCTTGTTGATTGCTTTTGTCCAAAATTTGCAAACATGGTCGGTCTTAGTAGCGGATTTTGGATGGTGCAGACCCAAAACTCATGGGTTCGACCACCCAAAGGGTCGGCCTTTAGGTACTATTTAACCACATCTATTTCTGGCTGATCGAACCTTAAGTTTTTCTACAGTTGCCTACTGTTGTTGAATGGAAGCACACGCTTAACATCATTTCGCAACATCATTTTGGTCGGCCTGATTTTTTTTTTCAAAATAGCCCCCCTCCCCTTGAGAAAATCCTCAATTCGCGTCTGGGTTGATCACCTGGTTTCTAAAATCAGGTTGTGGTGCAAAGTCAGTTTCTAAAGTAACATGAAAGAGCAATTTGGAATTTTGCATAGGCACCGATCTTCTGGAAAGACTGCTGCAGATGAACCCTAGAGACAGACTAACAGCTGAGCAGGCTCTCTCTCATCCCTATTTCTCCCAACTACATGATCCCAAGGACGAAAAAGTAGCCTTAGCCACTCTGGACGATTCCTCCTTCGAGGATATCTCAACTACAGCGGATCTGAAAGTGGCTATATTTGAGGAACTCCAGGAGATTGCGAGATTCGGACCCTCGAAACACATGGCTTCACCCAGTACTTACACTTCGCCAAAAGACCCAAATTCAATTTCGTCGTCTGAAGAAATGCAGTTATAACGAATATGGATACTCGGTAGCTAATTGGACCATTAGTTTTGAAATTTGCCGAATGGTTCAATTGTTTGGATATCTTTGTAGGTCGTAGTGGTAAACAAAACACAAATTTTTGATTATCAATACTTTTAAATACGTTTCATCTATGGCATTATCAAGTTTTAGTTTTAATAATCTGAAATAGCCAAAATTACTTGATTTAAACTGGTTTCATTTTAACGCTTGTGTTTATTTTCATGACGATAATTGTGCTGATTTGTTTCAATTCCTTGAGCTGCTGGTAGAGCAAATTGTAAATAGTACATCGCTAATTTCATGTATGGCAAACTGTGTTCCGTAAATGAAAATCAGGATTCTATCTTTTTCTGAAGGCTTAGTGAGAGTCAGAGGCTATTAAACTAGAAGTTTAATTTTTTAATTATACGTTGAAAACGGCGCAGAGACAATTCAGCCACAGACAATTCAGCCGATTTAAAATACAGACAATTCAGCCAAAAAAACTCAGACAATTCAGCCAAAGACAATTCGGCCGATTTAGATTAAAGAGACAAGATAAAAGGGAACAATAAAACTTTTCTAATTTGATTAGAGTCAGAAGGCTTTCAACAGTTTACCAAAGAAATGTAAAACATCAAATAACAAATTTCGAAGATCAAAACAAACTTGCTATGCATAAAGTTTTACGAAATATGTACATTGAAGGTACACAGTTTTAAATACTCCTGTATATGGTCTCGATTGTAGTTTTTTGCGTTTTGAACGAGTTTATCATTTGCTATTGAATACTTGGGCTTCTGTTTTCTGATAATATCACCGGACATCAGTCTCTACATTAATTTCGGCGTTTTTTTGCTCATCTTTGAATAGTGTGATCAACTTGGGGAGGGCTGGATGCTTTGTCGATACGAACTTATTGAAGCTGCCATTCCATGCCTCCAACGTATTGCTCGTACGAGGTTCTCCGCTGAGCACCAGATTGAAAACGTTCCAATCGGCAATGTCAAACTTTGGTTTGACGCGTCTATTTCCTCGACAAGCACCAATATAGGTGTCTTCGAAGTAGTCTGACAGACTCTGGAATTCCTCTGAGGGATCCTCTTTTCGGAGCGCCTCAAAAGCGAAAATAACGTCGTCAATGAGAACGAATGCCAAGCAAAACATTTTTTGACATTCAGTCGAAACTCATCATCGTCCATGTACTTGCGCGAAAAACCAAGTTTCATTAGTAAGTAGCTTGAACAACTGGTTGATTAGTATCCGAATCATTCTCATTCATTCACTTTTAGCAAAAGTTGACGTAAAAAGGAATTCGTAATATCTGAACGCGGAAAAAAACATCTTTGTCTCGACGGTTATAGATACCGTGAAAAAAAAAACTTAAGAACGGTCTCATTAAATGGCAATGTACATTTGGAAATTGTAGAGCAGTGGATTATTTGGACGAACAGCAAGAATTTACCTTAAAAACTGAGCACGCTCATTTACCGAGCCCCTCAAAAATTCAAGCCAAGAAATTTGCTAATGAAGTTCGAGAAAAAGCCGCAAACACCGGTAACGCTCCCGGACAGATTGTTTTCAACGCCCAAATTGACCTGCCTCTTTTTGCAGCGCCCACAATACCGAGTTACTCAACATCCCTTCGAAGTATAAACCGAATCAGGCAGCAAGCTTTGGAAACAATGCCAAAACCAAAAAACCTTGAGAGCGTCGACGAAATTCCTGAACCTCTCAAACTCACACACAGCGGTGATACGTTCCTGTATTTTGATTCTGGTAAGTCGGCCAGTCGAGTTTTAGTTTTTGCAACACTACCAGCGTTTGATTTGCTTTCTCAGTCGGAAATCTGTCATTGCGATGGAACGTTTTCAGTGGCACCAGACGTCTTTTACCAAGTTTATACTATTCATGGTGTAATCGAAACGGCAGTTATACCCTTGGTGTATGCTCTGCTGCCCAATAAGACGCAAGACACTTACGAAAAACTTTTTGGCTGCTTAGAGCAATTTGGAAAAAAGTAGTCATTGACTTTGAAGCCGCTGTTCGCAACGCCATAAAAAAATGCAGCCTGATACAGAAATTCAATTCTGTTTCTTCCACCTGGGCCAAGCAACTTTTCGATTACACCATGAATAGTATAAACTTGGTAAAAGACGTCTGGTGCCACTGAAAACGTTCCATCGCAATGACAGATTTCCGACTGAGAAAGCAAATCAAACGCTGGTAGTGTTGCAAAAACCAAAACTCGACTGGCCGACTTACCAGAATCAAAATACAGGAACGTATCACCGCTGTGTGTGAGTTTGAGAGGTTCAGGAATTTCGTCGACGCTCTCAAGGTTTTTTGGTTTTGGCATTGTTTCCAAAGCTTGCTGCCTGATTCGGTTTATACTTCGAAGGGATGTTGAGTAACTCGGTAATGTGGGCGCTGCATAAAGAGGCAGGTCAATTTGGGCGTTGAAAACAATCTGTCCGGGAGCGTTACCGGTGTTTGCGGCTTTTTCTCGAACTTCATTAGCAAATTTCTTGGCTTGAATTTTTGAGGGGCTCGGTAAATGAGCGTGCTCGGTTTTTAAGGTAAATTCTTGCTGTTCGTCCAAATAATCCACTGCTCTACAATTTCCAAATGTACATTGCCATTTAATGAGACCGTTCTTAAGTTTTTTTTTTCACGGTATCTATAACCGTCGAGACAAAGATGTTTTTTTCCGCGTTCAGATATTACGAATTCCTTTTTACGTCAACTTTTGCTAAAAGTGAATGAATGAGAATAATTCGGATACTAATCAACCAGTTGTTCAAGCTACTTACTAATGAAAATTAATCAATGTTAATTGTGTCAATGGACCATTTAACTGCAAAAAGTAGGCGCTAAACGCGGTACTGGTTTCTGTTTGGTCAATATTTTAATCGCAATTAGTTTATCTTTTAAAAAAGTTTAAGTATCAAATTAGTTTCAACCAACTACCCAAATTACCTGATAGGCGGTTGCACCCTCCCCCGCCTAAGGCATGATAAGAATATCAGCGTAACTGTGTGGCCAGTACGTGGTAGGGGTGGTCAGCCCTTTAACTGATATCCTTTTAGACCGCCTGTAAATTCCCAATTTCGGGTCTGCTGTCGTGTAAATTGAATAACTTTTAAGTATTGCGCAGTTTTTTGTAGAGTTCGATTTTTGCTTAACTGTTATTCCAAAATTGGAAACATAATGAGTTGAATAAAGTTTTATTTATGCTTAGGCATTTTTGGTTCTGTTTATTTTAATTGTTTTATGATGTGCATTTGAAAGGAATTACTTATAAGTCGTCTAATGAAAGCTTTGATGGTTCGCCGCATGTGAAAAGTTTTTGCGCGCACGTTTCAAAACTTTAAAACTGTCTGAATAGTCTTTGGCCGAATTGTCTCACTCATTTTGACTGAATTGTCTGAATTTGAAATTGGCTGAATTGTCTGTGGCCGAATTGTCTGAACGCGGTTGAAAACATAGCGATCGAACACAAAACATAGCAAGGATAGCTGGTTACTGTGCGAAAAGCACAGAATGTCCCGACCATAGTTTTTTTTTCTGAAATGGTTTGAATTTTTGAAAATTTGATTCCTCAGATGGCGCTAAAAACTCCAAAAACCAAGTCTATTTGGCAAAACAAAACTTTCAAGGCTTAAATTAAGCATAAATAAGCTAATGTAGACCTGCTCTTTTGCTGGAAATTAGACGAACAAATTTAGACAAACTCGCTGGAATTAGACAAAAATTTCAAGCTGGTTTTTCTCGACACCAGAGAAAATTGTTAGTGTTTTTACTGTCGTTCACTCGACACATTCAGATAGTTATTTGTGGTTCCTGATATTGCGTGGAAAACGAACAGTTGAAAAAAAACTAAAACGCACCCGAATAGTTTTCAATGGTCGGAACAACTAGACCAATTTTCATGACACCGACATCACAGCTGCAAGTTATTGTTTTTAATATTTACTCGCGAGTAGCAGTTCTTTGAGATGATACGACTTTCGACGTCCTTCGAGGTTAAGTTAGTTTAACTGAAGAGCTGCGGAAACTCATGCTTTATCCCGGTTTTTTAAAAGAATTTGGCGAGCCTGCAAAAATTTTGAAGAGGAAAAATCAATTATTTCAAATAAAAACTTTGCATTTAAGTTGAAATCTGTTTTGATAAACAAGTTTAATTTTCGATGTCATGTTTTTGTTTCTACAAAGGCGCATTGGAAAACGGTCAAATCGCTCTTTCCCAATTCAAGTCGCGCATTGAAGAGCAAATTTGTGTGCGTTAATTGGAAAAATAGTTTTTATACTTCTGTAAAAATTTGAACACTAGTGTAAAAAGATATGCAAACTGCTATCAAATTTTGGACGTATGAATTTTGGTTATGAGTCAAAATGTTGTACGGTTCACGTAATTCTCTATGATGCTCGTTTACTCTATGTTTACTTCCTTTGCTTGTTTCACATACTTTTGTCGTGGCGTGATTTTTGAAAACTAGCTTTAATCATTTTGATTGATCTAGTTTTTTTTATCTCTAAAAATTTTTCGATTTTTTTTATTTCTACTTTTTTGTGATGTATCGTAACTGGTGCGAAGCTCTGCTTCGCCTCTGTGTTATATTTTGATAGAAATTTTTGAAATAAGTTTACTGTAAACGAAGAATAATTTAATAGCAGGAAAGTTTTTGCTCAAAACAAATACTTAAACCTCGTTTTTGTTCAGGTAGTCTGAATCCCCAAAACCTTGTCTCATGTCTTCAAGTGTTCACGTCTTCAGGTGTTGAAATCCGAGATGCATAAAAATTTACAAGCTAAATTTTTTTTCCTATCGTGAGATCCTCTTTACATTTGAGAGAGCAAGTGTAAACTATCAGTTTTGTTCCCATTTAGTCTAGATGAACGCGGTTGCTTTTGTAGCCTTAGGTTGAGGGTTCGAGTCCCGGGTGTACCTTATTTTTTCCAGCATGTATGAAATTGATTTTTTTTGCGGGAAAACTGGAGTTTTTGGATTCTTCATTTGTTTTAGCGATTGTTTTTTAATTCCTTCAGTAATTTGTAATAAAGTATGTCGGGGTAAGTTAATAGCTCCGATGTTCCATATTTTCTTTGGCTTTCCTTTCGTTTTTTCTCCGCTTTAAAGCTTGAGTCGACCTAATTGTGTTCCGATTTTATTTTATCGGCTAAGTTACCTTATTTAAGATAGCTTCAATAGCAAAAATTATTAACTTTTTTCTTTTGAAAAATCAGGTAGTTTGTGTTTCAAGATTTCAAAGTTTTGAATCTTAATTGCTCAAAATTATCACTTTTTATAACGAAAATTTGTTTTATGGCATTTTTTGTTATCGGCTCAATGGGCGTCTTCTTACTTGCTCTTGGCTTAGTGGACGCTCGGTTAAAACTAACAGCTTAGTTAGTACTGTTATTTTTTACTGTTACTATTGTCTTTTTTGACTGTTTTTTGAAATAACATTTCGCAAAAACGTTTTTCAGATTTTGTGATTTCCCTCTCAATTTCTAATGGCAAGATTGCAATACTGCGCTTGCATTGTATCACAAATGATACGAAGCTTCAATTCATCTCTATATAACATTTTGGTGACCGCTTCTAAAGTCTTCCTCCGAAAATTCTTTTGTTCACATGATCCGAAAAAAGTTTTGGGAAAGATAATTCATTTCTTTTTTTGTCAAGATATTTGTGGTCGGAATTTTGCGGAATACTTGCACAACAGCAATTTTTTTCTTTTCGATATCTTTGTCATTCTTTTTAATACTGTGGTTCAGTTAGCTGGAAACAAATACTTAAAAGTGGCGACCTCTAAATATCTTAGGCTTTTTTGAACTTTTCACTTCTTTTTTTTGTAAGTAGTTGAATCATCTGACCTTCCCGTGAAAGTTCTAGTGTGAAATCAAAAAATTTAACGTTTCTTTCTTTTACATGACGGAGAAATGGAGTTTGACTTTTTGATTCAAAAATCAAATTCTTTTTTTTATATACAAGCAAACACTTCTGTTAAAACAATTTCACTCTTTTTCGGGTCGAGTATTTTGTTTGCAATTGTCGCGTTCAGTTCTTTGCATTATATGCGTAAAGACCTGTTTTCAAGTGCAATCGATGCTGCGGATATTAATTCAGAATAAGAAAGTGACGTTAATTTCGGTTTTTAACGAGCCAGCTCAAAAGAAAGTTCTGGTGCCATCAAAGGGACAACAATGCTTAAAGCTGAAATTCAGAAGTAATTTTTATCTCTCAGCTTTTTTTGGTCAATTATGGGATATGAAATTTTTCAAGTTGACTTATTTTCAAGCTGCTTGTTTCAAGCTTTTTGTTCCGGCTTTCGATACGAAAGTAACGGAATGTGTGCTCGGGGTGGGTTTTTTTTCTTCAGACAAACTTCGACTTTTTAACTAGCCTTTTTGACGGAATTTTTATATCATTTGAAAGGTATTGTTGCCCTGAGCTCAAATTTGAAAAGATATTTCACCTGTGATCATTTTTCGTAAAGCTACTGGGGTTTAAAGATTGCCATTTTGGCCAATTTGGGACAATTAACGCGCGATAAATTTCGCGCTATTAACGCGTAAGCGGAGAGTTAATCCGTCTTAGAAATCGTTCCAAATTGGTTAAAAGAAGCTTGTTTGCCATAATTGGTTTGTTACAAGGAGCGAAATTTATTCTTTTGTATTTTATATGGCGTGTGGGGGATGATTTTCATAAAAAATTTTAAATTTTAGAACTTTTTTTTTTCATTTTGTTTTATTTCATTGAATTTTCTAATGTTATTACTGCTCCATAAACCTTAAAGGGCAGTCTGAACATTCAGGGCTTGGCCCTGATACGAGCAGTCTTGTTGGTCTTATTAGTGCGGTAATAGATGAGAAACATACCACTTTGTACTTAACGTAGATGTGTTGGGAGATGATAAAATCAAAAACATCTATTTTTTACTTGAAGTTTTTTATAATTGATTTTTGCTTATATCTGCGCATTACAACTGTCAAAGTTTGAATTTCTAGCAGGGGCGTTCAACAGTGCCTGTCGCATCCCGTATTTTTTACTATGAGGTCTCTGAAGATTGCTCTGAGTATTACTGAGTTTGTTATTTAATCGCTTTCCAAATGACGAGGAAAGTTCTATGCTCGAGAGATAATCGGATGTCTTTCAGTTCGCAGGGCGGTATTCCTCTTGAAAACTCAAAGGACAGAGAAAGATATTTTAGGCAGAGGCTTTAATTTCGAATCAAGCTGGTCACTCGCGGATATCTCTCGAGTGATTTTACAAAGTTTATAAACCAAGAGTATATGTTATTGTATACTTTCATCAAATTTATTAAACAAAGTTTTCAGCAAAGGTTGGCCACTCTGTTTTTCATCGCCAAGCCTTTTTTGGAGTTTATTATTTGAGTTCAAATGTTTACTTGCTGTTTCTTCGTAATGATATTTGCTTGTCCCTTCGTTGACATCTTCTTGTTGTCTCACAGAAAATACAGTTCATGGTCGTAAATACCAATTAGGGCCTTGAAGTAATTTGGTTGGGTCAAATAATGAATCACACCCATAAATGGAATTTAGGGATGTGACAGTGCCGAAAAAGGCGGGAAAATTTCAGAATCATTTACACGCATTTTCTAAAGAGCGGGAAATTACTGACGCTAAATATCAAAGAAAATCACTTCAATTTTGGCGCCAAAATGTCTGCAACAGCAAATTAAACAATTATTTTCTCGACCAAAATCCTTAAATGCCACTTAAGATTGTAAACGATCGATGTTTAACTTTTGATTGCCGCACTTAATATGTTGAAATTTGTTCAAATTTTCGGCACTGTTGAACAAAGTTTTCATTTTCGGCACTGTTGAAAGAAGTTTTGATTTTCGGCACTGTTGTACTTCGGCACTGTTGTACTGCCCCTTTCTGGCGAAGTAAAAATAATTATTACCCAATCCAGGGTTAGTTTTTATTATAATGGTGTCTATCATATGCTTTGCTTGAATACCGTCTGTTGGCCACAGTAAAATTTTGGTTCGACTTATTATTTCTTCCTTTCGTACTCTTCTTTTTTCTCCCTAGTTGATATGCAAGTTTCACCGACCAAAATTGTTCAAGAAAAAGCATTCAGAAGTAAAGACAAAGAAAAAAAATATTAACAAAAAAATCGAATGTTCTTTGAAAAATGTTTCATTTTTTTAAATTTAGTGTTAATTTTTATTCACATTAAGGTGACTGAATTAGTTGAAATAAAACGAAAGAAGAAGAAGAAGTGGTAAGCAGAAATTTATTGAAATTTTTTTCAAATTGTTCTGGAAGACCAGCCTCTTATCAAATTTTGTCTCTAAATTAGTCTGAAAACCGAAAATGTTCAGACCAGTTTTTCTCGATACTGAGATAATTTTGATTTTTTTAAGAATCCAAATAACGACCAAAAGAGGTATAATATGTTACCATACTTGATCCCATGTGAGCTTTCCTTTGGGTAGTCAAAATTGGCCGAAACTAAATTGAAAATGGATCCTAATTTCTGTTAATTTCTCATCTAATTTTGTCTCAATCGATCGCATGCATCTTTCTTTACGGCTCCTTTCTGCGAAGGAAAACGTAGCTGAATGTAAAGATTTTTTTTGTGTGATCGATAAGTCGCTTTTTGTGGCATGAAAGCCATCATGAATTTGGACAAGAAATATGACTTGTACAAACAGATTTTTCAGATCTGTTGCTGACTGCTATACAACCCGGATTATCTTGGTAGAATATTGAACGCAGCAGTAATCCAAGCAGTACTTACAATATATTCAATCTTTTCAGCAAACAGTCATGTCTTCTTCGACCTTGAAAGATGCAGTAGTTAGCATGTGGACTGAATACGACAGAGGCACTAGTCGGAAACTGAAGCTAATCGACTGTTTTCTGGCATATGTCTTGGCCACTGGAATCATCCAGTTCATATACCAGTTGCTAGTTGGATCATTTCCCTTCAACTCATTCTTGGCTGGATTCATTTCAACTGTGGCTACATTCATTCTAACAGGTCAGTACAAAGTTTAACATTCAATCAGGCACATATGTTTACTTAATGCCTGGTTTTGGATCAAACCTTTTGCAGCTTTGGTAGCTGGCAGTTTTTTTTCTTATTCAAATTTCGTATATGATTCAAGTTACGATGAATGGTTTATTATTCTCCAATGTTTTAATCGATTTTACTATCTTAAGTATCGCTAAATATGATTTGGTTTATTGGGATCGTAACTACTCTGCAAAGTTCAAACAAAATGTGGGAATGGAATAAAATACGTGGCGTTTTGGCTGGATTGATGATGCCATGATGATGCCAAAGTTTGCCTCAGTTTAATATTTAGAATTTTTACTGAACTTGATCAATTAGCCTTCTACACTATGCCTAACTGAAAAAACCTTGGTTTCATATGCCATTTTAGGCGAAGTGGTTTCATATACCAACTGAAATATTGGTTTCATATTCCTTTTATAGGCGAAGTCCGAAATGTTCCTACTGCTCTGTAACTTGAGGAATAGTTTTTTTTCCGACTAATTGAAAAATGCGGAGGAACTTTGTATTCGAGTGTTTTTGTTTTTTTTTCTTTGTTTTTCATGCAAAATCAGGCACCATAAATAATTATTGGAAATGTTCGAGTGAAATATCATATTAAAGCCCGTTTAGTCGTGATTTGAACGGCATTAAAAATTTACAAAAAGTTGTCCCGGTATGTAACTTTTTTTTGTCTTAATTCGAGCAAATAAAGCGAGCGAGCAGGCTTACAATAGCGGTTTTAATAGCTTTATAGCTTTCAGTGGCTTAATTTAAGCCGGGTAAAGTTAGTTTTTTTCAAGTAAATTTATTTTGTTAGAGTTTTTAAGCGTCTATTAGGAATCAAAAATTCAAAAACACTGGAAAAAATTGCAAGATTTTAAGAAATTTGATTTTGATTTATTTTGTTTTCTTAGTCATTTTCTACCAAAAATTGGTTTCTAATTTGCTTATTTTACTATGACTATGACTGTCGAGTATGCCTTAACTCCATTTTTTGTTGATATCCTTTCATCACACCACGCAGAAACAACGACACTAATTTGAAAAACTTTTTTTGTTGTTTTTATTCAAGACTATGGTCAGAACATTCTGTTCTACTTGCCCTGTAACAGTTATCCTTGTTTACACAAGCGAAGCGTAAGGTATAATTACGAAAAACATTTCCAACCTAAGCCGCTAATAAATTGTTCGTTTGGTATATTTCATTTAATCATATTTAAGCCTATTCAAGCATAGGCAATTTAATAGCATATGTGCCTGCATTTTTCACTAGTCTTTTTTCATTTTACCCCACGTTTTACGGCCTTCGAAAGTGTCAGTAGGGTGATTTTTGACATTTGTTTTGAATTTTTCAATTTTCTCAAATATTGAATGCGCAAATCGGAGATGAAGATTTCAATCAAAAGAACAAATCATGGGGATCTCCCCTTTAAGCGGCTGATCCCTAAATTTTGGTAGAAAAAAAACTTATGGCCCCAAACAAGCTCATTTTTTGGGTCCAAGTTTGATTGGCTGAATTTTTCAAAACCGGATTATCGAAATAGTTTTTGTTTGGTCGAATTTTTTTTGCTTAGCATTGGCAATTTGATAAAAACAGGCTGTTTCATTGGTGCCTAGTTTCAGTAGAATTTGAGGGGTTTGAGTTCTATTATTTTACTCTAACTGTTAATGTTTTCAGTAAAATTGTTGTGTTGATCGACATGTTCATGTGTTTTCGAGATCATGATTATGTTGCGAAGTTTGTTTAAATCGAAGGAGGTAATTTCTTTCCGAAATGTAAGGCGAATAAGTCGGTTTAAGGCGGATAAGTCGGTTGCTAACGTAATGATAGTTTTTTTTTGGTAACAATATGCAATACATGTTAATTCGAATATTGCATGTTGTATATAGTGTTTTACTCTATGAAGAAAAAAAATCGTAATTAAACAAATGAATTTGCTACCTGAAATTAAACAAGTAAAATAAATTACTATCTAAAAATCATAACTTTCAGTTTGAGTTTCGCAGTTTTTAATCATATTCAAATTTAGATTCTCTATCAGCAGTGGTTCAGTCCACCTCCTCAACTGTAGGTCCACTTCGACCTTGAGCAGCTCCATTCATGCCTCCCATTGTAGCACCTGCTCCCCCGTTGTTCCCTTGTCCACCACTGTACAACTTGGTCATCACTGGGGCCACTTTGTCTTGAACTTCCTTCATCTTGTACTCAAACTCGTCTTTTTCGGCCAACTGATTTCGTTCCAGCCAAGTCTCGGTTTCCTTGATGATGTCGCAAACCAGCGATTTGTCCTTAGGGTCCAGTTTGTCAGCTACGGCAGAGTCTTCGACTGATGATTTGACGCTGAAGATGTAGCTCTCAAGAGCGTTTTTAGCCGACACTCTAGCCCGACAAGCATCATCCTCGGCTTTAAACTTTTCGGCATCGGCAACCATTCGGTCAATGTCCTGTTGACTCAATCGGTTCTGATCGTTCGTGATTTTGATCGACTCGTTCTTTCCGGTACTGGTATCTTTGGCAGTAACTGTCAACATGCAGTTGGCATCGACGTCGAAAGACACTTCAATCTTCGGGACGCCTCGAGGAGCTGGTGGGATTCCTTGCAAATTGAAAGATCCAAGAAGGTTGTTGTCCTTGGTCATTGCTCGTTCGCCTTCGAAGACTTGAATTGTGACAGCTGGTTGATTGTCGGCATATGTCGTGAAAGTATTCTGAGCGCGAGTTGGAACCTTGGTGTTTCTCTCAACTAGTTTAGTCGTCACTCCGCCAGCTGTTTCGATTCCTAGTGACAGAGGCACAACATCGACCAGAAGAACATCGGTGATTGCCTCGTCTTTCACATTGGTCAACACAGCCGATTGTACCGCAGCGCCATAAGCGACCGCTTCATCGGGGTTGATCGAGCAGTTCAGCTGCTTGCCATTGAAGAAGTCTTCGAGAAGTTTCCTGATCTTAGGGATCCTGGTTGATCCTCCGACCAGGACCACCTCGTGAATGTCGTTCTTGCTCATTTGTGCGTCCTTCAGGGCTCTTGTCACTGGATCCAAGGTGCTTCGGAAAAGATCAATGCAGAGGTCTTCGAAGCGGGCTCGAGTTATGCTGGTATAGAAGTCAATTCCCTGGAAGAGTGATTCGATCTCAATTGTCGCTTGCGCACTTGAAGATAGAGTTCTCTTAGCGTTTTCAGCTGCGGTTCTGAGTCTTCTCAGGGACCGTTTGTTCTGGGAGGGATCCTGTTTGTGCTTTCTCTTGAACTCTTCAATCAGATGCTTCACAAGTCGGTTGTCGAAATCCTCGCCTCCCAAATGGGTGTCGCCTGCCGTCGATTTGACTTCAAACATTCCATCCTCAATTGTGAGAACTGAAACGTCAAATGTTCCTCCTCCCACGTTCCTTTCACCAGTTGCCTTCTTGTCCAAACCATAGGCAAGTGCAGCTGCTGTTGGCTCGTTGATGATTCTCAAGACGTTGAGTCCTGCGATTGCTCCGGCATCTTTGGTGGCAGCTCTTTGAGCATCGTTGAAATAAGCTGGAACTGTGATAACAGTGGAAATCAGCGTCCTAGGTATGCTTCCGCTGTTTCTTTCATTTTGGTCAGAACCATTGAGCTGATTTCTTCGGCGTGGAATTTTTTCGTCTCAGCTTTGTATTCGACTTCAATTTGAGGCTTATCGTTATTGTTGAGCACTTTGAATGGCCACAGCTTAATGTCTTTTTGAACAGTTTCTTCGGTGAATTTTCGTCCAATGAGTCGTTTAGCGTCAAAATTGTGTTGTTTGGGTTCATAGCTGCTTGATTCTTGGCCGCATCCCCAATCAGGCGTTCCGAGTCGTTGAAAGCGACATAGGAAGGAGTGGTTCGATGACCCATGTCATTGGCGATGATTTCCACTTTCCCATTTTGGAAAACCCCTACGCAAGAGTAGGTGGTGCCCAAGTCGATTCCATGGTGCCCAAATCGATTCCAATTGCAGGAGCTGATTTGACCATTTTTGATTAGTCGCTGAATAGATTTTTGAAGTGTTGAATTGAATGTCGAATTGTGACTTTTTTGCAGAAATGTTATGCTTGAGATATAAGCGTTGGAAGGATCGGAATGAAGCGTAGCTTTGAAAATGTATTTTTTTGTCGATTTCTAATTGATTGGTAGTAGAAATTACAGTCTAGCATTTATACGATAAACGCATTCTAATTCTAGAATACTCTTTGAAGCGAATGTTCCGGAACAATCGCGTCGAGAATATTTTGTACCAATATGTTGTACCATTTTTGTAATCTAATTCGGAATGTTCTAGATCTACTTTCATTGTTGTTTTCAGTGTATGGAACTATATATTCGTTCAATCGAAAGTTTTAGAATGTTCTTGTAATGGACTATTTTTCATTTCCCTTCAATCGAATACTGTTCATGCCATATGCCGGATATCTTTAAATATTTCACTCCTATGGTACATGGTAAAGAATAACCACACCTATAGAGAACTAAAACAATGGTTGAGCTTACGCTAATTTTGAAACTAGTAACGAATTCTCCCTTAGGACGGAAGGACAGGGGAGAAACTTAAATTTTCTCGAGGGTGGGGTGGCGGATTTGATCACAAAAAAAATTGAATCTTTTGTGGACCTTTTTTAGAACTCTATTAGCACTCATAGAAATCTATTTTGATAAAATTTTCTGCGCTTTTTATTGTCAATTAGTGAGCTCGGAATTATGACGCATGCGATGTTAATTCTGACATATAGCATTGTTGGGTTGTTACCGCTACGTAATTTTTATAACGTTCTGTTGTCTTTTTAGCATGTTATTTTTGTAGACAAATTGATACAAAGATATGAAAATGTTGTCAGATTTAGCTTTTCTCGACACTGTCAATTTTTTTTCAAAACTTTTTATACTATTGCGGTTTTCGTCTCCTTTTCTGTCTGCTTGTTTGTGCGATGTTTTTGTTGTATTTCAAGTTTTCTGCTTTATGGTTGTCGACTTAAACTCCGTCGGTTCAATTCCCGAGTTGCGTCTTGCATTAACTACATATATGTAGCAATCGTGGACAATATATAAGCAGTACCTTTCTTTGAATTATTCGGCTGCTTTTTTAAAAAGATATGCTGTAAATCATACTCATATTTTCTTTAAGTTATGCGTCAATTTGCTGAAGACTTAAATGATGAAGTATCTGCATGGACAGTTGATTTTTTAAAAAACAAACCAAATAACCAGAGGCCGATCTAGTATTTTTAGAGAAGTGGGGATTTCCAAATTACTTATTTTGGCCAAGCATTTCATCCCAACTTTTATTGAACCAAATCTCCTTAGCTGTGGTTCATGTTAGAATACAAAGGCGCGTTTCTGTTCGGAATCTTTTTGCAATTATCAGTTTGATGATTGCATTTGATTCTACTCATTGCATGCCAACCTGAACAAATTCTAGTAGAGTTCATTTCGATCCGAGGACAAATCACGACGGGGCTTTTTAAGAATCGATGAACATAGTTCAGAATCTTTTATAGGTCACGGTGATTTTTTCAGTCGTTTTTTTTCAGGAAAAGTTTCTCCAGTCTCAAATTTATTTTTCGCGGTTCGACTTTAATTCTTTTTAAGTTCAGCTCGTTTAGTTTGTCTAAAGGAAGGCAAAAAATCACAGAAGATTGAAACAATTCATAATTTTTTTAAGTTTGGTCGGAATTTTCTGTGTTACTTGCACATCAACTGCCTGCTCTTGTTATTCATTACATTACACTAACCCATAAAACCCACCGAAATTTGAAACAAGTCATAATTTTTCTTCAGTGTGGTGATAGTTTTCTGTGTTGCTTGTACAGCAACCGCCTGCTCCTGTTATTTTACAAAAATTGTTTCAAGAAAAATTGTTCTGGCTCAAGTTTAGTTATTCGCGTTTTGAAGAGGAACATTTAGGTTCACTTTAATTGCATTTACTAATTACTCTATTCAATAAAAATGGAGATAGGGAAAAAAATAGGAGTAACTTTCAGTTTAAGTTGATTTGTAGTGTTGATTCTTAAATTTCCCAGTAGATTAATAAAACTTTCATTGATCTGGGTTGCATTAATAACACTTCTTCCTAGTAAATGACCTTTTGATGTTATAAACTTTACTAACTGTTAATAGCGGTAACACTTTAAAAACTTTAAGCAGTGTACCAAACAATGATATGTATTCAATCAGATTTCAGTACACGGAGACGAAAAGCCAGTTTCCCTATTTTCAGAGTAAAGGGCTTCTCAGGCCCAAGTGGGCGAAACCCATTGTAGAAAACGCTCTTTACCCTGCTTAAACCCTTCTGAAATGAGTCGGCTAGGGTTTAAGCAGGGTAGTAAATAACCCGCCTGCTTAAATAACGTTAAATAACAGTTATTAACAGTGTAAATAACCGGGGTGTTATTAACAATGAAACCCTGTTATTGATTCAGTTTTTTCAAATTGGTTTAGTTTTATCTTTACCATGAAACATTATTGAAATTCAAAGAAATTTAAGGCCGTATATTTTTTGTTTGAAAATGCGTCATAAATTATCAATATCTTATTCTGGGTCTTTGGCAAGCTCACTGAAACCTTTTTGTTGGCTATGTCTTCGGTTATTGGTAATTTATATCCGTTTTTTTCTAGGATTGTTTATTCTTTCGAGTGGTGCTTTTTTGATTTTTTTTGTGTCTTTCCAGTGGCGTGCGCGAAAATTTTTCTAGGTATGGGGTGACTTTATCAAAAAAAATTTCTACGCCGCAGGCAAATTTTTCAAAAAACAGGGCAAAAGAGGCGTTTTTTAGGCACTTTTTGGAAAGTTTTGACCAAAAAATTTGCGTTTTTATGGCGCGCTCCCTCCTCAAAATTAGTTATATTTGCGCTCAAGGCGCCTTCAGAAAATTTTGGAGGCTGGTCAGCCAAAAATGGATATCGTAAAGTTATACCCTTTAGAGACATTTGGCAACCAGAATTGAGAGGGAGGGGGCGGTCGCCCCCCTCGCCTCAGCACGCTACTTTGTCCTTCCCTCCCTACCGTGTGCTTCAATTTTATTGTGTAACGAGTAGTTTTGCAGCATTAAGTATATTGATTAAATGTTCAATTATAGCGATTTAACTTTGGGAATAGTTTAATTAGTCAAGTATGCCTGTTTTAATAGGCCCAACATAGTGAACAATTCATAACAAAGTTAAATTCATAACAAAGAACCCCGAGAACAAGAAGCCCGAGAACAAATTCATAACAAAGAACCCAAGTTAATGAAGAAAAAATTATAACGGTAATTTTCTGCGTGTGTTTGTGAGGGGAGTGTAATTGTGTTGCTGTATGTTTAGTGAGTCTCCGTATCCAGATCAACCCCGAGAACAAGAAGCAGTTCGAGGTGACCCCTGAGAGGGCATTTGCAGACTACATCTTTGCACAGGTCATTCTCCATCTAGTAGTCATGAACTTCATTGGATGAAAGGACACAAAGAGAAAGAGAGAGAGAAGAATAAAGCCTTATGAAGAGGAAAAGTGAGACGCAGAACATCACAAAAATAAAGCCATTTTGAGACATGATAAATGTTCATATAAATAAAAAACATCTTCAAGTGAAAGGATATACCTATCAAAGCTCAGTGATTCATGACAAAAGAAGTTGAAAATTGAAGGGTCATTGTTTGACATATTTTGGCGTTCCTCTTTTGATAAATTTTTGAATGCGTTTTTTGTGGATTGGGACTTTTTGTGGTTCGATTTTGGAGCTGTAAGATTTTAGTGTCAAATAAAAAGCGCTTTAATATGGTGACTGGTTTGAGGAAATATTGACGACAAGGTGTGATGATATATAATGACACCAAATTGATATAATGTTCGAAAATTGATTTGTTTGATATATGATGCTTAAGTTAAATGTAAAGTTATCATGTTTATTGTTGTTCATATACTTTGTCCATATTCCAATTAATACTATTATGATCTACATTATTTTTTTGCGAAAACCTTTCAGCAGGAAGCAATCATAAAAATTGGCTGCAATATTGATGAGAGACGCTTCGTTTTTACTGCATGAAAAACTGAGAACGAAAAACTGAGAACGTTATGAGAACACAAATGTGATTCAAAATGAAACCAAGTGTTTGTCAAAAATGGACTGTTTTAAAGTTTGTCAGTACCGTAAAAAAAGTTTATGCAGTTTTTCTATTTTCAATTTTTGTTTTTCAGAAATAACAATGTGAAATAGAACTATTTTTGTTGTGGTTCAACTTCAAAAAAAAACAACTGGTAGTTTTTAAGCTCTGAATTTTGTCCCGATGACTGTCCTGGAACGCTTATTTCTATTGTCTATGTGTCACAATCTTCATCTACACAATCATGCAGCAGTCATCAATTATTAACGAACAATTCGTTTCCGATCTAAATACAGCGACAAAATTAAAGCCAATCGATAAAGCGGTGACTCAAAAGGACGAAATTAACACACGGCAAAAACAAGAAGGTTTTTTGTCAGCAAAAGACCAAGAGTTACAATTTCAATCAGTTGTGCTGGATTTGACCTCCAATGAAATCCCATCAGAGAATCGAATAATTTTAAAAGCTCGACGGAAGATATCAAATTGTGATTCAGGCAGAAGAAAAGAGGAAAGTGCATCTGATGTTCTGAGTCAATTCTGGTCCCTGGTGTTGTTTGTGTTTTGTCAGTGGAGGCGTTGTCTGGCTAGTCTGAAGCTTATGGCCAGACGAAACCATCCTGAGTTTGTGGCGCTTGTCAACTCCGTAAGTATTGAAGTTTTCAAATACTGAGTAAACCTCAATTTAATTGATTTTCTACGATTGCGATTAGCAAGCGTTATCAAACCGGAATATATACTATTCTTTTGGGCTTACAACTAATTAACAAAATCAGTTGAATCACTTATGGCTGCTGACATGCTCAAATTCATGAAAATTTAAATTTAACTATCGGGTACCAGTTACTATTCATATTATATCTAGAACTCATAACGTTGTATGTACAATTATAGTTTTGATATTAATTTTCTTCTGATGGTTTTTCGGTTTCATGGTTGTCGACTTAAGCTCTGTCGGTTTATTTTCCAATATATGTAGTCTGTTTTGCATTCGCTACTTATATAGTTATCGTAGATTCTATGTGGGCATTACATGAAATCTTTTCCGAAATGTTTTTTGACGAAAAATTTTGGTTAATTTTCAGCTTATTGGGTGTCGTCTTCAATTCTGTCGGCTTGTTTACAGATTTTTTTTCTTGAAATATTTGGAAATACTTTTGAAATCAAAAAGTTTCTGGCGCCAATTTTTTGAATGCACATATTCAACCTGACGAGGACCTCTTTGAAAATATCAAATAAGTGCAAACATGAAAAAAGAACGCTTTTTTTGTTTAAGAGTAATGAACGTAGTGAAAACTCTTATATAGGTCTTGCTGATTTTTTTTCGTTTTTTTTTGTTCGGGAAAAAGTTTTAAAATATTGATGCACCTAGGTATAATGCACTTTTAAAGTTCAATTGAAATTCATCTGCTGAAAGTGACGTAAATAGCAGTCGCCAAATACGAAGGTGGAAATGGCGAAAAAAAAACGTGAACGATTTCTAGTTTCGAAAGTGGAATTTATTTTTAAGAATTCCCAGCGGAATAAAAACTTTATCTATTGATCCAGTTTTCTTAAGTTGGGTTAATGTTATCAAAAAAGCGCCAATCATAAATTGTTCTAGAAATTCGAAGAGCTTAAAGGGCATCTATTTTTTTCTTTGAAATTCGAAAGTTGAGATTTTTCCAAGAAAGTCAGTGTTTTTTTTATGTTTCCTGGCGTTCATAACTCTTTTCAATCCTCGATTGGCTATGTTCAAGTGTTGCCATTGCATTGCTTCAGATCCTATTGCCTTTACTCATATCACTGTTTGCTGAAATAGGACCAGTGACGACTAAGAAACTGTACATAGCTTACAGAGAGGGGCCTTTCTTCCCGAACAACTCCAACATAGTGCCACCTAACTTCATCGATGTCTATACTGGAAAGCTAGGTTAGTTGACAGTAGTTGCCCTAGCATAACATGAATGGTTCCCGGTTGCATTATGATACCAGAGCTCGTTCTATGATCTTTAAGAGGAAAATATAGACTAGATTCTTTAAGTAAAAGACAAAAAACCCGTCTGCTCTAATTTAAGTATAGATAGAAAAGTCAAATATAAAATAGAAAACTGTTTTCTAGCTTTAGTTTCGGAATTTGTTTCGCACTGTTTCCTTTTGTTTGCAAATCGATTTTTTTCAGAAGGCCTATCGCACATCTATGCAGCGAGTAATGTGGTTGTTTTTATGAGTTACACTCATTGGTCTATCAACTGCCAAGACTCGAGAGACGTCTTCTTGGAACTAGCCAGAGAGTTCTCGGAGTCAGACGACGAAACCACAGAAAAAGTGGCCTTTGTGGCCATAAACTGCTGGCTACCAAAAAGCCAGTGTCGCAAAGTATCCAGGGCAATTGGGCCGTTTCCGAGGTTCATCATCTACATTCCAGAGTTGTCGAGACACGTGTGGTACAGTGGACCGGTTACCGTGACTGCAATTCGCAATGAAATAGGTGTGTATGTGTGTTTACATTTGAGAGCCCTGACGAGATAGTAAATGTCAATGAACGTAGTAAATACACTTATAATGACCGCATTGAAAACGCATCAAAAGGATACAAGCTAAATATTTTCCAGTTCAAATGCCGTGAAACGTGTGAATGACTGGTCAAAAAAATACTTTGAAAGCGAATTTTATTGCAGCTAAATAAAAAAAATTTAACCATTGACCCAGTTTTCTCAAATTGGTTTAGTTTTATTTTAAAAGTTTGCGATCATAAAAAATTATGGAAAGTCAGAGCTCTAAGTTAATGTTTTTTTTCTTTGAAGCTCGAAATTGTTTTTTAAAAATCCAATCACTTTTATTATCCAATATGCGTCTTGCAACTTGCAATAGTAGTAGATCCTCCGCGTCTCAGAATAACGGCACAATTTTGCGAAAAGCAAAGTTGGATAATGCGCCTCTAGTAAATGATGCTACTGGGATGTTTAATCAACTATTGAGATAATAGTGAAAAGTTGATTTCAGCTCGCCTCTTGCAACCATACACGGTGGTTTCGACGATAGAAGAATTGCGAGAAGCCATGACTAGACATCCGTCTACTCTGGTCCTCGCTCCATCCCAGACAACCCTCGCCACTCATTCATATCTGACTCACTTTCTCAAGGTACTCCACATGGTGGGGTCCAGGATGTCTTCTATTGTTCAGGTTGCTCCTTGGAGTACTCCTCAGATGATTGTGATTAACGATCCAACTCTCAGGAGATACGTATGTGCTTTGGATTGTGGATTCAGCATACAAAGGGTAAGCTGGAAGCTCTGGAGAAACAAAATTTTTTATTCCTATTATATTGACTATTTCAGTAACTGGAATTAGAATTTTGATACATTAAGCCCTAATTTACGAAATAAAGTAAGACTTTGTCTTTTCAGTGCAACAGTCTCACGACGGAAAATATAGCTGTTTTGTACCGAGGTCAAAAGTCAATCAAGTTCATTCAGCTCACGAACGATGAAACTTTGTTCGATAACATCTTCAGTGCAGTGAGGACTCTTCTTGCGCCCTCCATCGGCGAAAAAGTGTGGCGTGAGTCACCTATGCTGTACATGTACATGCCTGGAATAGTTTCAATTCCATCGGTCAGTGCTAGAAGCTCGATTTCACTGGACGGAGTTCTGAAAAATAACAATGATTTCACGTTTGTTCTCAACTCAAATAGTCCGAAGTTAATTGAAGATTTCCTTGATGTTAAAAATTTATTAGAAAGGTGTAGAAATCATTATAAAAAGCTGTACTGCGTTTCGCAAATTAACAACCGGGAAGTCAAACGTAACGACAGTGAAAATGGTGCTAGTGTGAGTTATTGTCAATTTTGTTCAAAACACGCGAATGTTTCGAAAACAGTTAGCCTTATGCATCATAATGGATCCTCTGATTTCAATCGCTATTTTCTTCTTGGTCTTCAAAATTCATTCCAAAAGTTTTGTTACCCGAGTTTTCACGAATTACAAGCTGTCATAGAAACTGTTGAAGAAGACGTTGCGTATCAAAATCGATTATCAGGTATCAAATCAGCTTTATTTGCAACTCGCAAAACGAACTTATTAGATGAGCTCTTTTTGTCTTTGTCGACATGTACGCATAACAAGTCAATGACCTTTGCAATTAGTTCCCAAATCCATCAGTGTGACCCTGACATAGAAACTTGCCTGGGTTTAAATTATTCTTACCTTATGGTTTACGACAGGTTATCAAACAATCAAGTATATAAATTATCGCCTCTTGGTTCCATTGAAGATTTTCTACAGGTATTATCTGATATAGTTAGACAGTCATACAGTGTAATAACATCGAACTTGATACATTTCCTCAAACCACCTTCCCATTTTCTTCACGAGAAACTTGGAGTGGCAGTATTGTCGAACGAGTTGAGGAAAACTTTGAGCTACACGAGTAAGTTAAAATATGGAGATATGAACCCTTCGGATAACAAAGGCGTCACGTATGCCAAACTGTCATCCTATTGCCGCTCTGACGATATTTGGTCAGGTGCCAACTCGAATAACTGTCTCGTTTTGCACTACAACAGCTGGTGTGGTTTTTGCAAAACAGTTATGCATGTTTTTCAAACTGTCGGAAGTATGATGACGTCGGCTTTCCCGAACGTGACCGACTTCGTGAAGGTCAACTCGGGAATAGAGAGGATACCGGAACAGCACAAATTCGCCAAGTTTCCGACCATAGTTTTCTACCCGGCGGCTGAAAATTGTCGGAAGGAATATGTTGTCGATGAAGATGGAATAAAGGTCCAGAAAATTAGCCAGATGAAAAACTTCACATATACGTACCCAGATGATATTGCAGTTACAGTGCCTAATTTATATGGATTTGTAAGGCTTCATTCTGGCGTTTATTGATTAATATTTTTCGATTTCATTAAGAGTTGATGAACGTAGTTCAGAATCTTATATAGTTCGTGATGATTTTTTTTAGTTTTTTTTTTCAGGAAAAGTAGTTTGTTCATGTTCAAATGTACTTTTTTGCGGTTTCAATTTTGATTTCTTTTTAAGTTCAATTAGTTTCCTTTGTTGAAGGAAAGGCAAAATTCACTATCGAACACAAAAAGTGTAGAAGTCACGAAAAACGTAATAGGCTTCTAGTTTCGAAAATGGAATTTAATTTTCAGATTTCTTAGCATAATTATAAAAATTTTACTTATTTTTCCAGTGTTCTCAAATAGAGTTAATTTTATCAAAAAAATGCCACTCATAAGTTTTTCTAAGTCAGTATTTTATGTTAGTAGCGTTCATTGGCTCTTTTCCAATTTTCTGTTGGCTATGATCATTAATTCATATTCACTTATTTATGTTACTGAGTTTTGTTATGGCCGATTTTTTCCATGAATTTGGTTTTAGTGCTTTGGATTGGAATCGGCAATTATTTGCTGAAGATAAGCTTCAAGGTGTTTGTTTTTGTTTTACATCATGTGACCTTGAATCATTAATAATAATCAGTGTCGTACCTCAGATAATGTTTATTGAAGAATTATCTTCGTATTTAATTAATTGTTGCTTTCCGATTTAATTTATTGCCGAGGCTGTATATTTTACTTATATCTGCAAAAAAGAAATAAATGACTAAAATTAGCTATAATTCAGTGAAAGTGAAGCAATCAAAATTATATGATATCCTATCGGACCCCTAATTCTTATCTTGGAGTATTCTTCGTTTTCTGTTTTTTCTCCTTTTTTTTGCAAGAAAGGAAAGACCGAAAATTGAAAAGCCTGTGATTCAAAAATATTCAATTGAGGGGAGGTGCGAGTGGTGGGGGGCCTTACTGAAATGAATTTTATCGTTGCTTAAGTTTCAAAAAGTTAAGTCCCTACCAGCATTTTTTTTTGCTTTTTTTTTACTGAACATGCCGAGAAAAATCATTCAGTTTAAATCAGTTGCTCCCAACATCTATTCACGCTCGCGATTAGCAAGAGTATCAAATCGGCATATAAGTTTTTTTCAGGTTAAAAACTTCTTTAACAAAATCAAATGGATAATTGGTCAGCACGTGCGCTCCATTAACAAGCTGACATGCTCAAATACTTGAAAGTTTTATTTAAACTACTGCACTACCGGTTGCAGTAACTGTGCACTTAAGAAGCTATATCATTACTCTCGCTATTGAAGTTTCGTTTTTTCCTTCATTTTCTTTTTCCTTCACCTCACGAGCATCAATTTAATAGTGTTACCAGTGGTTTTACAAGGTTAATTATGACGACCAAATATGTTTGTTATGGCCTAATTGCATGCCTATTTTCAAAACAATCGGACGATGTGATCAAAAGTTTAAACTAATCAGAAATTTTTAGGTGGGGAAAAAGAGCCAAAGTACCTTTTTTTGCGCTTGCGATTAGCCAGAGTTATCAAACTGGAATATAGACTTTTTTCGGGTTAACAACTAGTTTAACAAAATCACTTGAATCACTAGACTTCATTCACGTGCACTCTCTCCACTCACGTGCTGTCAAGCTCAATCTCCGGCAAACCTGGCACAGAGGTAACAAGTACGTAATAACTAATTACTGTATGGTAGTTTCATGGGGACTTGAAACTTTTGAAAGTTTTTTTTCGGCTCAACTGGTGTCTGCTCAAAGATTGTCAACCTTGTTTCCGCTTCATAAGTTTTGTTCAATTACTTGTTCAATATCTTGCTAGGCATGTTTGCCTAAAATTCTTGTTTGATAAAAACAGGTACTATGAAAGTGTATGGGATTGGGTTTTCTTAGTTTTTTTTAATTGAAACGCTTTGAAAAATTTTATCACTTTTTGCAAAAAAAATAAATTTTTTCTCAAAAACTGTTTTACCGTTTTCAAAAAAGGGTATCCATAGGAAGACCAACTATATGAGAAAAACTGCCGCTGGTCTCTTTTTGCTTTACATCTTAGTCTACAACCTTCGAAATCTGTGGGGGGAATATTTGACCAATATTTTTGATTTCTCAAAAACTTACCGACTGAATCTGAAATTTTAATTTCAACGAAAAGAACGGATCTGAAAAGCTTCATTCCATTAGAGGCTACGCCCAACCTTTTTTTGAGACATAAAGTTATGTCCCTCGGAATAGTAAATATTTTGACCGTTTTTGAATCTTTTTAACTTTACTCAGAAACTAACCTTCAAAACCTGAGGTTGTCAGTTCAATTGAGGGTAGTGGTAAATTCCCCTGCATTAGCGGCCACCCACAATTTTTTTATGCAAAAAGACTTATCTTCCTCGGAAAAGTCAATTTTTCGAGCTTTTTTTTTTAAATTTTATGATTTTTACCGGAAAATACCCTCCCATATCTGAGATCTGTGTTCAATCCAAAGAACTGGTTGTAGCAAGTGCCTTGAATACGCGAATGTACTCAAATTTTTCCAGACCTAAAAACTTATGGCTCTCGGGAAAAGTCAATATTTTGATTTTTTGACCTTTTTTGGACTTTTCTCGATAACTGTCCTGCCAAATCTGATATCATAGGTTTAATCGACGCAACAGATTGTTGAAAGCTTGTGTATATAATTTACTACGCCCAGTTTTTAGAAAAAAATGTCGTCTCTCACTAGTGAAGGTTTTTGAACTTTGACCACTATTTGGAAGTTTTTTGACTACTCGTGAAAATTCTCAGTTCAATGTGTTCAATCTCGCAACCCGAGTATGGGAATCTTCTCTACTTTACCGATGACCACCTGCTTTTTGAATTTTGAATTTTCTTAAAACTACCCTAACTAAATCAAAAGCGGTTACTCCTTTGAAAGAGAAAGGCTAGGTCTTTGTTAAAATTCCAAAATCTTTTTTATTCTGCTCACTTATTTTAGTAGAGAAACAACTAAGGTTTTGGACAAAGTCCAATTTTTGAAACTACGCATGTCCAGCATCAGTATAAAAAATTCCAAAAATAACAAAGACGTAGCCCCAGCCTTAGCTGGGTCCTAGGTGTCCTTCATTGAAACATACGAAAATTTTGGTTCACTTATTTTTGTTAAAAAATTTTCATGTTGTTTTTGGACTTATACTTTCATGATTGTGTAGTATCGCAAGTGGTGCGAAGCTCCGCTTCGCCTCTGTTCTGTGTAAAAAAAATCAGTTGTTAGTATCTTGATATGTCTTCGTAATTAGCCTGATTTGCACAGCAGATTCAAACGGCTCCTACTAAGCTTGAAAGTTATTTTGATTTATTCCTGTAATTTGAAAATTCAATTTGAAGATTTTCCTGGTCATTTTTTCGCTTGAAAGTTTATGCGTCTTAATTGTTTCAGCCGATGTGCGTCATTTAGAGGGATATGAAATTTTTTACACGTTTGTGTGCTTCAGAGTGGGGTGATGCGAAGATCAGTTTGAAAGCTTTATAACAAAATTTTTTGTTGCGACAATTTTGTTTTCGGCTTAAGGGGTTCTACCCAAGTAGTGTCGGCCTAGTTACTGATAGAAATTTTTCGTCCTTAATGCTAATTTGACATTGTGTTACATTTTTTAAAATTGAAATGCAATCGTAGAGATTTTTTTGGCTGTGTAAATTTTAACTCATTTTGTCTGCTAGCTTGTCATTCTATTTTGGTAACGTATCGCCAAAATAGAATGACAAGCTTTGCCTGCGACTCGCCCGCCAATTTGCAAATCTCCCACCACTTTGCCTGTGTCAGAATTATGACATATTTTACAAAAAAGTCAATATATCTCGAAAGCTAAAATTTTGGCGGTCTCGTTTTTCATGACTGAAATCTCGAAAATCGTCGTATAACAGATTGCAGTTTTAAAAAAATAGCACCCAAATATTTTGTCACCTTTTACGCTGGATAAAATTTGAAAACTTTAAAAACATCATAGCTTGAAAAAATTGCATGGCAGGCAAAAAAAAATTGCATTTCTTTAATCCTATGATTCAATTACTGTGTGCTTTAAAGAAAGGGGTGTCAGACAGGGGCGGATCTAGGATTTCCTCGAGGGGGGCGGATTTTCAAAAAATTTTCGAAATTTTGTCGACTTTTTTAGGTCGAGCTAATTGACTTTCCGAGCTCTCACAAAGCACTAAAAAGTCCCTGTTCTGGCCAAAATTTAAGCGCCGCAGGCAATATTTTGAAAAAAAAACAGGCCAAAAAGGCGCTTTTGGGCATTTTTTGGAAACTTTTTTTACCAAAAAATCGCGTTTTTTCGGCGCGCGCTCCCCCCTTAAATTTAGTATATATTGGCGCTTTTAAAAAGATTTTAGGTTCAGTGAGCCAAAAATGGATAGCGCAAAATAGTTCAAAGGAGGGACCCTTTGGAGCGTCTGCCCCCCACCCCCAAACTCGCTTTGTCTTTATAAAATGCTGAAAATTTTCAGTAACTCATTCATATCTCGAAAACTGAAAACTTTGCGCGGATCAATTTTAGTCTAAGCAAGAAGTCTTGATGTTGTAACAGCTAGTTAATTGACGAAAAAATCCAAAATCCCATGTCTGATCCAAAATCTTTGCTTCTTGACATCGTTATTCAGATGTATCATTTGAAGATGTGTGTTTGCCTCTGATAGCAATAGCCGATATGTACGTTAGAGTTAAGCCTGCAGGGATGGACCACTGATTAAACGTGTAAAGGTTCGTTCGAAACATGCAAAAGCAATAGGTTTGAAAAGTAGCTCTATTCTAATAGTTTTTTTCTGATTTATTTTCCGATTGCTTCAAATTTGACATGCTGAAAAATGAGGATATTCCGAACTTATTTGGTCTGCATACTTGACCCTGTAAAGTCACGCTTTACACAATAAAGTGAAGCGAGGGGAGCTGAAAAGCTGTAAGATTGCGAGATTGTGAATCCCTCATTAAAGTATAAAATGCAGCGTGAAGCATACTGGTAATGCAGCGCGAAGCATATTGGTAAATTTAAACAGGAAATTGATTTATAGCCGAGATATCAGCTCTTCAACTCAAGCAGTGATCGTAGATTATGACGCGTCTCGAACCAGTGATCTATACATCGAGGGGCGGGAACACGAGCCAATTTACAGAACCTTCGATCAAAATCAATTGTTTCAGATTAGAAAATGCTGTGCGGCGGTCTTTTGCGCCGAACAGGAATTATCACCATTCAGAAAATGCCTCTGCTGAAACCGGCTCAGTTGAATTCAGGTTTGAGAGATTCAATTAGAAGCATGGGTGACTCAGCACAGAGCAGATTTGTGATGAGACTTTCGAGACACAACAGAACGAGGTTCATGCGACAACTCACGTTCTATCTCTCACTGACTGGAATTCCTGCCACATGTTGGATTTATTATTCATTGACCAGACAAGGTCAGTCCACAACCACATCCTGATTGAGTTCGGCTTCTCTGAATGCAATTAGTTTTAGAAAACTATGAAAATGCAACGTGGAATTAAAAGAAACAAGACTGCTCGTATCAGGGCAAAGCCCTGAATGTTCCGACTGCCCTTTAAGGTTTATGGAGCAGTAATAACATTAAAAAATTCAATGAAATAAAACAAAATGAAAAATTTTTTCTAAAATTTAAAATTTTTTGTGAAAATCATCACCCCACACGCCATATAAAGTACAAAAGGATAGATTTCGCTCCTTGTAACAACCAATTATGGCAAACAAGCTTCTTTTAACCAATTTGGAACGATTTCTAAGACGGATTAACTCTCCGCTTACGCGTTAATAGCACGAAATATATCGCGCGTTAATTGTCCTAAATTGACCAAAATGGCAATCTTTAAACCCCCGTAACTTTAGGAAAAATGATCACAGATGAAATATCTTTTCAAATTTGAGCTCAAGACAACAATACCTTTCGAATGATATAAAAAAATTCCGTCAAAAATGGCTAGTTAAAAAGTCGAAATTTGTCTGAAGAAAAAAAAATCCACCCCGAGCACAAATATTCCGTTACTTTCGTATCGAAATTCGGAACGATAAGCGGGGGATTGTCTCCAAGGAAATGTATCTATTCTTTTTTCGGTGCTATTTATCTTCTGTAAGATAGCGTTGTCAATTTTGAAAGGGATGCTTCTTAGGTTGGTAAAATCCTTTTTTGCTAATTGCAAGTGGAAATAAATTGTTCGAATAGTCTTTCTTTTGAAACAAGTGCTCAAACTTGTGTAGGGATTAGAAGAACTACTTCGAAAAAATGATGCGTCTATGAATTGGTTTGCTAATCGTTGATTTCAAATTGTATTTCTTTTTAGGGATTGCGGAGCTAGTAGATACTCCCGAAGGATACGAACCTCAGTTCTACGAGTACTATGGAGTGAGTATAATGCCAATGCTTCTCTCGGTAGTATATAAACCAACCGAAAATAAACCAGACTAAAACACCGACCAATTACATCATCATCTCACAATTATATAACTCCTATTGAAATCAAGCTAATTTATGCTCAACTGACGTAACTTTTGATTGGTTTGTATACTCTGCTCATTTTGCTTCGCTTAAATTTCGACTGATTTTTCCACATGCGTTCTTTCTTTGCTTTTTTGTCCGCAGGAAGAATTATTTTTGGTACGGCCAAAAAGGCTCATTCAATGCCGATAATTGGCAAATTGCGGTTTTCATGTTTCGTAGATATGTTCATCGAGATTGTGTAATCTCAGATGAATTGACCGCTGTTAAAATTCATATGTATGAGCTAAGTGTGTCTTGTAATGTGAAACGCTGTGTTTTGTATTGTAAAACATCATTTCAGATAAGTCTAACCGTTAAACCAAAAGAACGAAAATTAAGTCTGCGAGTATGAAAAGAGTGGAAAATGCAATAAGGGTAAAGAAACGATTAGAACACCTTTTGTTATACCGAATAGCTTGAAAAAGTCCCGAAAACATCGAAGCCAAAATTCGGAATAAAAAGTAACGATAAAATGTGTTTAGCATCCAATCACGCGTTTCATGGCCAAGCACTTCGCCTATCACCCTCAGAGACACTACGAGAAGGAGCTGGGCAAGTGCTACAAGATCAGAGAAACTGTCCTGCAGAGGTGAGAGACCAAAGTGTAAATCGGGTGCGAAGAGATAAAGTTCAAAGGGAACGAACCTATTTTTTCAGATAGTTACAAAAACTATTTTATAGATGTGAAAATTATTTAACAAATCACTCAAGATAGCAATGTTCTAAAACGGAAACATGTGAACACTTAAGAAGAAAGTTAGAAACATTTTGATAGTGCGTGAAGGATGATATTTGAGGCCAATATTTTGTATCACTTCGCAAAAAAATCTGTCAAATTTTTTCAGCCAATTTTGATAGATCTAACAAAATTAATTTTTGTTTATTGATAATGAATCTTTTTCGATCTATATTCTAAGTGGATTGACGGTGTAAGAAGTTGCATCAACTCTAACAATTATGCGAAGTAAAATTGAGGGTTATGTTTAGAATGTGTCAAGAGCGAGCCAAATTGATCAACAGGAGAACTGGAGAATCGCTAGACATCAACGAAGAGCTGATTTTGGACAAGTACACACAGGGTAGGAACTTCAACGAGAAACTGCAGCTGATTCAATCCCCCAACCACATCTACAATGCCAAGAACGTCATGGAGTACTCGTACGATAAAAAGAAGTAAAGAAACTACATGAAAAATGGAGTGTAAACGCGAATAAAACGGCATGATCGATGAAACTCTAAATGTATTGGCTAACATTGAATATTCGAAGGCAAAAATTAAATTAGATTTAAATCTGTAAATGCAGTTTCCTGAAAATCGCTTTCGTCTAGACTGACCTGACCACGTGATATCGCAGCTGAGTCAATGCACAATCAAAAGTAAGTTTTTTGGGTGATGTATTACAATAGGTGGCAGATTCTGGTTAAATAGCTGGATAGCTCTTTGTTATACTTCGAACAAGACAATTGATGTATTTCAAAGTCAAATTTTTTGGCAAAAGCAATGTAAAATTTGATTTTTTTTCGAACAACAGTTCGTCTGGCTGAGTAACGTACATACAAAAACGATCTTATTAGCATGTACAGGTGATTAAAAATGAAAGGACTATATTATGCATAATATTTCTCAAATGTAGCACATGCACTACTCAAACATTTCTTAAAAAAATTACCACCTATTGCAACATATCACCAATTTATTTTGCAATAGCAGAGGATATGTGCCGATAACAGATAAAAACTACATTTGAGGGTCCGTGAACTTTTAAATGGCGTAAGCCCAAACTAAAAGCGTCTCTGGAGCCTAAATTTTAGTTCAATCTATGAAGTTGTCCCTCGGATGGTCAAAGCCGTGAAGTTCTTTTGATTACACATGCGTATTTTTATATCACGAATCCTTTTTCTAACCCAATTTGGAAACAGGCTCATTTGGTGACTTTTTGCTGCTTATTAATTTAATGACCTCTGTTGTATTGACTTATTGGTGACTAGTATTTAATTATTGACAAGAAACCGTGGCTTTTTAATCCCGAGGTCAGGGGTTCAATTTAGGTTATATTTACCTTTTTAATTAACTTTTTTATACCATTGAGGTAATTTTTTCCGTTTCTTAGCGAAGTGCAGCGACGCCTCTGTGTTAAGTTTTATTTTGGCCGACATTTTTTTTGTTGAATGTTATCTTTAGTGAAATAATGATTTTTTAAAGCAATATACTAATTATAGTTTCAACAGGAGAACCCATGGGGTGATGAAAACTTTTGTTCAATTTTGAAAAATCAAACCTTTTCAAACGTATGTCTTCTGTCTTTTACGTTAATGTTTTAGTCCATTTTTCGTGGTATTTTTGGTCGAGTTTAGAGATTTTTATTTGCCATTTTTGCCGCAGTTCAGACTCTTAAATAGGCCTTGATGATTTTTTTTTGCTTTTTTCTTTTGGCTATGTTTATTCATTCACGTTCGCTAATTTTTGTTGCTGAGTTTTTCATGCCTTTCCTATTTTTCCATGGATTTGGTTTTTGTGCTTTGCATTAGAATTGGCAAGTTTTTGCTGAAGATGAGCTTCAACTTAATTTTTTTTTAGTTTTACATCATGTGATACTGAATCAATTTTAATAAACAGTGTCGTACCTCTGAGAATGTTCATTCAAGAAGCTTCTTCATATTTAAGTAACCCTGCTATAAGCAAGGGTATTACAATCGGGTACTAGACGTTTTTTTACCGTTAACAACTTTGTCCACAGGAGTCATGATGTACCTCGCTTCATAGTGAATTCGTAGCGTCTCTTGCACCTTTAGCTTGGTGGTAACGACTACGCCTGAGACGGGAAAGGTCCTCTGTTCGAATCTGACCAGGACCAGTTTTTTTTTTCAAACGCTAAATATTCCGAATCAAACAAATTCTGCCTATTTCCTAGTTGCCACATCTACGAATCGTTTATTTTAGCTGTAAACATTTCTTACTGCGGTTGGTTAAAGTTTTTTTTTTAAATCAGGCCAAATTGAGTTTTGCTTTCCACATTGGTTGTAATTTTACCAGCTCGTTTTGTTAATTTTTTTTTTCATTTTTTTATGTTTTGTCTTTTTTATTGGCCTAATAGTTTTCGGCTGAAGAAATATCGCCTTAGTGGCCTCTTTTTGCGTAATTACGACCGTTAAAAGTTTTAGGCGCGTGTGTGTGCTCTGAGGGGGAAAAGGACTTAACATTTTTATTACGTTCAGATAATGTTTTTGTTCGGCATGAAGAGTTTTGCTCAGGTATTTTCGGCTTTGTTACCGCGTCATAATTAAACATTAAAATCCAATAACTATCCGGAGCATCTGGCACAGAGGTAAAACAACAGTTTTAAATGGCAAAAGCTTGCGGGTCGAATCCGGCCGGGCCCTTTTTTTTGCAAAGAGTTTTTGTGCTTTTTCGAACTATCGTCCGCCTGTTTATGTTGTCGGCTTGGTTACCGTAGCTCGATGGTTCTGCTTTTTTGCAAGTTGCTGTAACCCCCATGCTTGAGACGACAAAGCTCGGAAGTTCGATTCCAGCTGAGCCCTGTTTTTTTGGAAATAGAAAATTTTGGCTAATTTAGATTATTGTCTGTCTGCTTTTTTTGTCGGCTTAGTTCCGAAGAAAGGACATTTCGGAAAACATGCCTTCTTTATGGCATTCCCAAAACTCTTCATAGAGCTTCTAATGGTGCAGGCAATTTTGTTCCGGATATTTGGGCTGTTGTTGCAATTTTATTTACAAAAACGATTTTTGGAATTTTTTTTCGTTTTGTTTTAGTTAGTCATTTATTTTTGTATCGCAATTGGTGCGAAGTTCAGCTTCGCCTCTGTGATAACTGTTGCTTTCAAATTTAAATTTATTGCTGAGGCTGTGAAGCAAACGAACGTTATTTGATTTCCTAACCGGCCCCAAATTGTTTTCTTGGAGTGTTTTTCGTTTTCTTTCTTTTTTTTCAGAAAGGAACCATCAAAAATTGAAAAGCCTGTCATTCCAAAAATATTCAAATTCAAATAGTAGAGGCACTACTGAAATAGATTTGTACGTTGCTTAAAATTCAAAACGTTTAGTGTGTAGAACAAATTTGTGTTGCTTGTCTTACTGAGCATACCAAGAAAAGTCTTTCTGTTCAAATCAGCTGTTTGTAGCATATATTTACGCTCAGGATTAGCAAGCGTATTGAAATCGGCATAAAAGTTTTTATAGGTTAACAACTTGCTTAACAAAATCAATTGATCATTTCTGACAGTGAACGCAGATTTTTTCAAAATTGTTTCCGTGCCGTTAACAAGTTTTGTTATCAAACTGTTTTCGACGCATTGTGAAAGTGTTTTGTCTTTTTTCCAATTTGCTGTGTCGGTACAAACGGATTTTTCGTAGAAAAACTTCATCTAACGCAAAATTGCGGGTCGTCATTCAGAACAATTTATTTTGCCTTTTGTTTTGAGGACTTGGTTTTTGAGGTCTCATGTACCGCTTTTCTAATTTAATTTATACTTTTTGCGATAAAAACATGGAAGACAGCAAAAGTCATATGTTTTTCAGGTACATGATCTAAATTGACTTAAATGTATTGAGCTCTTTTGTTTACTAAAAAAACGAAAAAAGTATGAGCTCTAATTTTACGAGGAAAATAGAAAAACGAGGATATTAAAATGGTTGAAGTATCATTTACAACTTCACTACCGAACTTAAGTTGCACTACCGAACACTAAGTTTCACTACCGATTTGAAGTGAGCGTAGTTTAAAAGTACGACTATTCTTTTTCTTCTAACCTAAGGAGCAAATACTGGGGCCACTTCTGGGGCATCTTTACAGCTTTTTGATATCCTGTGCTTTGATCTTCGATTAGTGATAAATTATCACAGTTGATGCAATTCTCATTGTTTAAATCGACCGAAAAAAGCTATTTGCTTCAAATATCAATACAATAATAAAAACTCCATTTCAAAATTTTTCCAACTCAATCTATCTCGCAATACTTTTGAAATGCTTATTTCATAAATATTTTGGCTTTATGCCTTCGAATTTTTTTCATGCAAAGTTAGCGTGGATGCCTTCAGTTTGTTTATATTCCAAAGTATAACATGCCAAATTGTGTCTATTTCCATTTGGTGCCACTTTCGCTGCATTGCATTGGAAATTTATAGGCATATGTAGCTGCTTTATTCGTGACCACTGCTGGTCGGGTCTTAAGCGTTCGTGGCCTAGCGGGCAGGGCGAGTGACTCCGAATCTCGAGGTCGCAGGCTCGCATTCGATAAGTAGCAAATTTTTACTAACTCGAGGCTTATTTCTATTTTTTCTTAATTCACTTTATAAAGCTGCTTTTTTGTCGTGTTCTCACTAGTGTTTGCGAAGCGCAGCTTCGCCTCTGTGTCAAACCTAGTTTTAGGTGGAGCTCACTCTACTGGTCGATGAAAAAGGGAAGGGGCACAAAATTATCTGAGTAAAACTTGTCTGCTCAGATTTGTAGCTTCGAGATATTGTTTTGAAAACCATGTTCTTCGTGAAACTTGGATGATGCAATTTAGGGTGAAACATTTTTTCTCGTTAAATGGCAAACGTTTTTTCTGGTAAAGACCATTGTTCTTAATTTTTTCGACCAAAGTTTTTTGACAATTTTTCTTAACAATGTTTTTGGTAGTTTAATATTCAGGCAATTTTAACGTAACTTACGTGTTTTTGGCTTTAAGATAAGGTGGTATGTAGGTACGGTAGTTTGTTGGGCTTCTGCCGGTTTTTCATTGGCATATGTTTTGCAGCGAAAAATTGATGGTTTATAATGCTCAGCAAAAAGTGTTGTACCGTCTCTGTTGCTAACAGTTGAAATATTTTTGCAAAAGGCTTTTTATTTACATGTGCTGTATACATGATCATATATCCTATTTCCATTAAGAAATCGCCTAAGAAGGCAACCTTACAAGGACTTATTTTAAGGAATGACGATATGACTAGTAAATACGACTCTCATAAAAACCTGAATTCAGCTTAAATTTACTGCGCAGCACTCGAGTTGAAGATATAAGTAGAACGAGAACCACTAAATTGTACCAATAGACACAGTTGAGCGAAGTTCAGTCTATTCTCTTCTCTTTTAATTCTCTTATTTCATTTAAAGCAGTTATGATCATAAACAAAATGCGGTTTTGCACACAACTATACTACTCTACCTTAGCGTTTCTGTTGTTTTGTAAAAACTAAATAAAGTTTTAATCACAAAGTGCCATCTTTTTGTTATATTTTTGAAAAAATGCTCAAGCATAATTGAATTTTATAAAAACTGCCCCTGGTCTCAAACATAAAAATTGCAACTCATTTTCTTTTCGAGTAAATGAGTATTTGATGTGCGTGAATTTACCGGAGCAATTGACCTCAGCTGACCTTGTAATCAAGAATGACGTCACAATCAGACTCTACTTCGTCTCAGAAGGCGGCCAAGTGGTACTTTGGGGTGTTGGCAGCCACTTTTGGGAGCAGTGTCACCCACCCTCTCGACCTAGTCAAGGTGAGTTTATCCACTTTTTAAAGTTCTTTTTCTCTTTAATAGTTTTTAAGTGTCAATCCGAATCCACCAATTGAGGTTTCAATTATTTAGAATATGGAAAGTTTTATTTCAACTTGAGAAAATTTGGCAGTTTACTTCAAATTAATTCAGCCACAGTTGATTTTCTCGTTCATTTTTCAAGTGGAACTCAAATAATTGATGGCTGTTTGTACTACGTTTATGGGCGCTATTGATGAAAACAGATATTTTCCTTCTTCAGGCTCAGAAAAATCTCTGAAACAGAAGATTTCCTGGGCTTACTGAAATGAAGAGGTATTGAAAAAAGTGGTTAAGGTGGCTTCTTTTTCATGCAAGTTTCGAATTAAGTTACATGGGAACTTTGAATTTTTTCTCTATATCTTGTTCAATCTGGGATGAAGCTGACAATGAAACAATCGTTTTTCTCGGTTAGTAGCTAGATTTGATTGCGGAAAATTACTTTCCAATTCTCGTGGAATTCATGAACAATATATTTGTTGTGCGAACGTTTTCTTTTCTGTAGTCAGGTTCTATTATCTCGTAGACCTTTTCAGTTCGCAATTAGATAGAATTTTGACACAAATCAGGTTAAAATGTTGCGTATTATCTCTGGTAAAATGTTTAGGTCCATCATCAGACGAAGAAGACCTACTCTGTGAAGCCAGTGAGTCGGACCATGCTCAATGTGATTGAGAGTGATGGACTACGTGCAATATACAGTGGAATAGGCGCGGGAATAATGCGACATCTAACGTACCAGAGCGTGCGATTCGCCATATACGAGAACTGGAAAAACTATTTCACAGTCAGAGGTCAACACCTGGACTTTGCAACAAGAATCGTCGTCGCTGGAACGGCAGGTTTCCTGGCCGGAGGATTCATTACGCCGGTCGATTTAATATGTGTGCGAATGCAAAATGACGTAAAGCTTCCCTTCATCAAGAGACGTAATTACAAAAACGTGTTCGATGGCTTGGTTCGTGTTATCAAAGACGAAGGCTTAATTCAACTTTACCGTGGCAGCTCAATGGCGTGTTCCAAAGGCGCCTTAATGACCATCGGTCAACTTGCTACTTATGACGTGACTAAAGAGAAATTGTTAGAGCTTCAGTTAGTAAATGAAGGTCAGCTGTGTTATATAATCAGTTCTATAATAGCCGGAACTATTGCCACTTCTTTTGCAATGCCTGTCGATGTTATGAAGACGAAGATTTTCAGCGCTACTCCGGGAAAATATTCAGGTGTGCTATCCTGTTTCACACAAACCCTGCGTGCAGGGGGACCACTGGCATTTTACAAAGGGTTCTACCCTTCTTTTGTGCGAATAGCACCGGCCACAGTGATTACTTTCCTAGTTTTGGAAGAGATGAAAAAATTGTTTGGTTCTACTCTTGTCATCTCAAACTGAACATCTTGTTTTTCTTTTTGTAATATCGTGAACCAGATGCTGAAGCTAATTTGTTATTCATTGAATAAACTTGAGAAGTTATAAACTTATGCGATAAGTTTCTTAAATATATTAATGACCGACCAGATGCTGAATTTATTTCGTAATAAATAAATAAGTAAAATTCGAAATAAAATGGTTTGCTCCTTCCGTCAGAAGCACACAATTATGATCTTTGCAGTTTTTTTCTAGAGGATTCATATAAAGTGATGAATTTGCTGATGAAATTGTTAGATTTTTACTGATGAGGATGCGTAATGGGAACTCGAGGTTCACATTTCTTGCTGTTCGTGTTTAATTTAACTACTACTTAAATACGCGAAAAATATAAATATTTTGATTTATTTCTACCTAGTACAGAAGACCCTTTGATCTTAATAATTCAAAAATACCATGTATTTGAGCTGACTGGTTCTCTAGTGACGCGCTGATTTTCCCCCCAGGAGTCAGCTTAAGCTGCCCGAGCAATATACACGTAAAACAAGGATAGCCAATTACTGCGCAAGTAGCACAGAATATTCCGGCCGTAGTCTTAAAAAATGATAAAAAGTTTTTTCTGCGCAGTGTGACCATAATAACAAGTAAATCAACTATGAAATTTGAAAAAAAAAAACGTTAAAAAAAACTCAAAGTAATGCTCAGAATGTAACCGGGTTGACCAAAAGTCTCTATCTTAGAACTTGCTTTATAGGAATCTTAAAACGTCTTACAAAATTAGGCTCTACGAATGTTACAAGATACCCTTGTGACATTTTATTAAGTTTATTTGCTGATAACTAGAAATTTTGTCTATATATACCTAAACCCCACTACAACACGCTATATGACGAGATTCGTCGAAGTTGAATTTTTGTTGTCTCCAAGTTAATTAAAAACCACTAAAAACGCATAATTAGGAGTTAAATTGAAAAAAAATCAAATTTTTAGCTTCCGAATTTTTTCGAAATGCATATTTTATAGCCCCTATCTGAAATTTTTTTTATAAATTTGAAAAAAAATGAAAATTTCCAATACTGAAATTATTTGTTTTAAGTTTTAAGAAAGTTGTAAGATAGCAAACATTTCATATAAATCTTATAAGAAATCCTAAGATAGGAGATTTTTTTCTGTAGGGTGGTCAACTCGGGTAAAACCACTTTCGACGATGATTGTTTTTTTTAATGAAACTACGAAACTTCCCTATATTTGTATTGATTATTAGTTTGTTCACATTGGATTATGACAACGTTAAATTAGTTATTAAAACCTAAAATATTAAATGTGTGAGTGGGAAGGGTGGAAAAGGGCCGACCAAACGTCTGAGACTATTTTTCACACCCCCTTCCGCTCACCTTTCAGTTTTGAATTTTCAAACTACTTCAACATTGTCACAATGCAAAGTAACTTGGCATGGTGAACACAACAACAATTGTGCACAGATTTTTTTTTGCATGTTTTACATCGTAACATCACCCATTTAGCCATAGTAATAAACGTATAAAACAAGTATAAAAATAAGTAATTTGAAAGTGGGAAAGGGGAAGTGGAGAAAAAAGGCTTTCTGTTTCTCATGCACAGTTGTTGAAAACAAATCAATCAAATTATGATCAGTTGACAAATTTTTTAAATAGGGCTCTTTAAATACATGCTCTGGAGGGACGGAAATTTAGAGTATGTCCAACCGGAAAAAAAAACTTTTGCAAATTTGCAAAAAAAATTAGATCGTTTCATTTTGCTTGTAAATTTTTGAATAAAACAGCTCATTTCCTTTTGAATGAAATAAAAAGAGAAATGGATAAATTAAACTGAGGTAAACTTGAAAATAAATCAGAACTTGTTGGTCCCTCTGCAATTCGACCACGCTTAAAGAAACAATTTGCATTCGTTGCAACAGCTGAGTCTGAGATCACAGTCCCGCCGCAAAAATAACTCTTCTCATCTGCCGACTCTTTCATTCTTATGTTTTTGCCAAAGAAAGACCTTTTCTCTGTCGGAACGAAGCCAATATTTATCCGTTCTTCCGTTTTTCAATTTCCTCACAGTTGAAGATTTTTAAAATCGTAAATGTTAAAAATTTAATTTTTTTTTTGTAAATTTTTGCTCGCAATGTCCAATTATAGGGATAGTTGACATATATGCTTATTAGCTCAGTTTAAACATCTTTGGTCTGCATACCTACCCGTGGAATACATCGTACTCGTTTGTTATATCAAGAACTGGAGGCTTTTAAGAGGTGACTGGAAAAAGAAAAAAGATAGAAAATTCATTGCTTTAACGATGAAGAAAAATTCAACAATTAATATTAAACACAAATGAGAATAGAAAAAAGACTGCTGAACTCCTTTCCGCTCCCCTCACTTTACTAACTTTTCATTTTCTCAGTTGTCTTAAGTTCTTTTATGGCTGTATGCATGATGGGTGCGATTCAAGTTCCCCACTTATTTTACCTGCTATTATGGCTGAACGCGTAATTTAACGATAATGAGTAGGAAGAACAAATCTTTTCACTGTTTTTACTTTGCTCGCCATACAAAATTTCCAAACTTTTTGACAGCGATAATGCAAATTTTTTAAATAGGGCTCTTTTATTACATGTTCGTTCTGGAGGGACGGAAATTTAGAGTATGTCCAATCGGAAAAAAAAACTCTTCCCTTTTGCAAACTTGCAAAAAAATGTGATCGTTTCATTTTTCTTGTTAATTTTTAAATTAAACAACTCATTTTCATTTTGAATGAAATAGAAAGAGAAAGGGATCAATTAAACTGCGGTAAACTTGAAAACAAATCAGAGTTTGTAGGTCCCTCTGCAATTCGACCACGCTTAAAGGAACAATTTGCATTCGTCGAAACAGCTGAGTCTGAGATCACAGTCCCGCCGCAAAAATAACTCTTCTCATCTGCCGACTCTTTCATTCTTATGTTTTTGTCAAAGAAAGACTTTTTCTCGGTCGGAACGAAGCCATTATTTATCCGTTTTTCAATTTCCTCAGTTCAAGATTTCTAAAATCATAAATGTTAGAAATTTATTTTTTTTGTAAATTTTTGCCTCTTTCCCATTCTGATACCCCTGTGGCCGCGGTTCAAGTGTCAGGCCAGGAGCGGATTTAGGGGTGGGGGTAAACGCCCCGCCCTTCAGGATTCAGCTCCCTGTCGGCCCAAAAGGTCGCGTCTTTGTACTACTTTGAGATATCCATTTTTGGCTAACGGAAACTAAAATCTTTCTAAACGCGCCTTTTGGAACCAATATGTATTAACTTTAAGGGGGAAACACACCAAAAAATGGCAATTTTTGGGTTTAAATTTTTTTTAAAAAATGCCTGAAAACGCCTTTTTTGGCCTGTTTTTCAAAAGTTTGCCTGCAGCTCAGAAAGTTTGGTCAAAACAAGGCCTTTTAAGAGCTCGGAAATCAATTTGGTCGGCCTATTTGAAAATCCGTAGGCCAAACTACCCTCCCCCTCCCTCGCCCAAATTTTCGAGAAAACTGAAGATGCGCCCCTGTCCCACACAACCCTAATTTTAGAGGAAAAATTATAAAATAAAAAACACTATTTTATATTTTCTGTTTTGAAATGTGTTTTTGCCTTGTTTTAACACACTTCCTAATTTTACATTGTCGCGACTACGTGACCAAACGTCTGAAACTCTTTTACACCCCCACCCCGCTGGTTTTTCAATTTTGATTTTTAGAAGTACTTCAACATTATCAAAATGCAATGAAACTTGGCATAGTAAACGCACTAACAATTGTGCACAGACTTTTTCTGCATGTTCTACATCGTAACATCACCATTTAGCCATGATAACACACGTACAAAACAAGTATAAAATAAGTAACTTAAAAGGGGAAGTGGATAAAAAGCCATTCTCTTTCCAGACTTTCGCGATCAAGTTTTGTTATGTTGATATTCTAACATTCACGACCCATCTTGCGACTTTTGCGGGCTCTTGTTCAGACTTCCGCGACTTTAAATCTAGTCGCTAGCTTGAAATTTTGGCCTGGTTTTAGGCGCGACGTGATGCGACTTCTAATGTCTGGGAATAAGTCGCAGACCTCGACCCGAGTAAATCGCATGCCAGTTTCCGAAATACTAATGGGTCATTGTGAATATAAAGTGCCATAGTTGGCGAAATGATAAAAAATACAATGAATTTTTTTGTCGAAAATAGCTGAAACTTGATATCGTGTTAGAACGGCTTATACAAATCAGTAGCTGAAAACAAATCAATCAAATTAAGATCAGATCACAAATTGTTTAAGTAAATAGTTCAGAAGGCATCTTCAGAGCATGTTCAGTCGGAAAAATGTTTGCTTGTTGTGAAAGAACAAGGAAAAGTTTCTCAAAAACTTTTTAAACAAGAAAATCTTGAACTCAAATTTGAGAGGAAGCTGAAAAAGACCGCTAGATTTGCCATCTCAAGTGGAAGTTATTGGAAGATACATTATAAAGCAGCAAAAACTTCGAGATGCTCCGGTGTTTTCGGTCGAAAATAAACTCTCTTGTTTTGTTTGCTTGCTGAGGCTATTTTCCATCTTTGAGTTTTTTCTGAAATTTTATTTATGGAAGACTATTTAAAATGATTTTTGATGCTCTTCACTGCAATTAAAAGTGTGAGCGTGAACAAGTGAAAAATTTTCTTCCAAACTTTGCACATAAATGTTTTTTGAAAAAATTTTCAACAACACTTCATGTTGTAATATTCCGAGGGGAGGGAGACTGGAAAGAGCCCTTTTGACTTTATGAACGATAGAAAGATGAAAAGTATGCATAAAACATGTGCTCACAACCGTTGAGTCAAACGCTTTGCAGTTATTAAACTGTTATATTGGCTTTAAAAAAAAGACGATGAAATATAGGTGAAAAGAAAAGATCCCATAGCTGAGATTAAATTTGCAATTCTATTTTTTTTGTTAAAAAGGTTTTATGAGAAACTTAAAATTATCCTAAATTTTTTTTTTCACTTTTCAT